CCTCCGTGGAGCAGACTTCTAAAATTTCCAATTTTGTGCTCTGCTGCTCTCTCACCTGCTGTGAGCCAGCTCCTCCCTCTGTGGTCTGTCTTCCCGTTGCTTCTCATTCACTTCTCCGCATGTCCTACCTTCTGGAAAGTGGTCGATTTTCTGTTCCTAGAATTGCTGCTTTTCTCTTCTATCTCCTGTTGAGTTTGTATAGGTGTTCATAATGATTTGATAACTATCTAGCTGAACTCCTGGGACCTGATGATATTTCAGTCTCCTATTTCTCCGCCATCTTACTTCTTCCCCCCTGGATCAAGTACTCTTAGCTGCATATTTTTATTATTTAGCACTCTGAATTATGCCAGTCCTTTCTGAGTTGCTATGTCTCTGTGGATATGTCCGCTGCCAGCCTAATGTTTCTACCTTTGTAGGTTATGGACCTCTTGTCCTGAGCTGCTTTCAGGATTTTCTCTTTGTCTCTGAGATTTGCAAGCTTCACTATTATATGTCGAGGTATTGATCTATTTTTATTGATTTTTGAGAGGTATTATCTTTGCCTCCTGAATGCCTGGTTCCAGTCCCAGATTAGGGAAGTTCCCTGTTATAATTTGCTCCAACATACCTTCTGCCCCCCCCCTTTCCTCCTCTTATGGGAGTTTAAATATTCTAATACTCTTTCACCTGATCGTATCACTTCTCTCTTGAATTCTCCTGTTGTGATCAAGTAGTTGTTTATCTCTCTTTTTCTCAGCTTCCTTATTCTCCAACATTTGGTCTTCTATATCACTAATTCTCTGTTCTGCCTCATTTATTCTAGCAGTTAGAGTCTCCATTTTTTATTGCATCTTATTAACATCCTTTTTGATTTTGACTTGATAAGATTTTATTTCTCCAGAAAGGGATTCTCTAGTGTCTTCTATGCTTTTTTCAAACCCAGCTAGTATTTTATAATCATTATTCTGAACTCTACTTCTGACATCTTACTTATATCCATACTAATTAGGTCCTTGTCAATTGGTACTACCTCTTGTTCTTTTTTTTTTTTGTGGTGAGATTTTTTGTGTGGTCATTCTATCCAGAGAAGAATAAATGAATGAGAGAACAAAATACTAAAATGGCAAAAATGCCCCAGAAAAATATACACTAAATAAATCAGAAGAGACCTGAAACAAACAAACAACAAGAGAGAGAGAGAGAAAGAGAGAATATAATGAGAGAGAGGTGAGCAGAACAGAGCAATACATTGGATCCTCTGTGTGTGCTTTGGTCTGTTTTTTAGAAGAAACTATATCCCAATGTTGTAAAGAAGGAAAAGGGGGTACGTGTCTATATATGTGTGTGTGTGTGTTTATAGTATATATTATATTATATGTATTATACATTATATATAATAAATTCATAATATATTTTATTTGTGTATTAATATGTTAACTCATATATAAATATAAATTATAAATTATAATAGACATTATATAAAATATATATTTTATTATATATTATGTAATTTTTATATATCTTGATATATAATATACAAAATATATAAAAAATAAAATTAAATACATTGAAATGATAGAATGTAACTATAAAAATGAAAATTATAAAAGACCTTAAAAAAGAGAATATAATCAGATAGGTAAAGACATCAAGGCAGTATACTAGATTCTGTATGTATTTCGGTCTGTTTGTTAGAAGAAACTGTATTCCAAAATTGTAAAGAAAGAAAAACTTATGTATATATCATTTCCATTCTGCATGAATAACTTCTTTTAGTAAAATTTTTAAAATAGTAAATCTACTAAAAATGAATTAGCTTAGTTTTTTTTATATGAGAATATTTTTATTCTCTTTAATGCCTGAAGGATATTATCATTGGATATAGGACTATAGGTTTATAGCTTTTTCTTTCAGTATTTTTTTTTAAAAGGTTTTATTTTGGGGGTGCCTGGGTGGCTCAGTGGGTTAAAGCCTCTGCCTTTGGCTCAGGTCATGGTCTCGGGGTCCTGGGATCGAGCCCCGCATTGGGATCTCTACTCAGCAGGGAGTCTGCTTCCTCCTCTCTCTCTGCCTGCCTCTCCACCTACTTGTAATCTCTGTCAAATAATTAAATAAAATCTAAAAAAAAAAAGATTTTACTTTTAAGCAATTTCTATACCTGATGTGAGGCACGAACGTACAATCCTGAGATCAAGAGTTCCACACTCCACTGACTGAGCCAGGCAGATGCCCCTTTTTAAGCACTTTAAAAATGTTATTTCTTTATTTCTGGATTCCACAATTTCTGATGAGAAGTCTGATATTATTCAAATCATGAAATGAATTGTTTTTCTCTAGTTGCTTTCAAGGTACTTGTCTTTAGTTTTTGGCAGTTTGATTTGGTTTGTTTGGGAGTAGATTTTTTTAGTTTATTCTATTGAGATACACTGAGCTGCTTGAATCTGTCTTTTGCCACATTTCAAGGTTTTTTTTGCCACTATAACTTCAAATATTTGTTCTCCACCACACTTTTTCTCCTGTCCTTATGAGACTCCACTGACAGAAATGTCAGCCCTCTTTCGTATTGCTCCACAAGTGTTTGAGACTCTGATCATTCTTATTTTCCTCTGGTTGTTCAGATAATTTCTATTGATCTATCTTCAAATTTATAAACTCTTCCTCTGATGATTCCATTCTACTATTGAGCCTGTCTGATAAGGTTTTTTTTTTATTTTTTTCTTTGGTTATTATATTTAACTTATTTATTTATATATTATTATATTTAAGCTTTAAAATTACCATTTCCTCTTTATGTCTTTTATGTCATTTTCTGACACTTTCTATTAATTTCAAAAATGTTTTTTCTTTGTATGTTGGCGCATTTTTATAATAGTTGCTTTGAAGTCTTTATCAGAAAGTTCCAACATCTTTGTCATCTTGGTTGTGTTGGCATCTATTGATTGTCTTTTCTAAAGCAGATTGAGATTTTCTTGGTTCTTCATATATGAAGTGATTTTGAATTAACATCATGGACATTTTGAATATTAAGTTATGAGACTGTGGATCTTAACTCCTATGGAAAATGTTGATTTGTTTTTGCAGAAATTTGACTCAATTTGGTTCAGGCTACAAGTTTCAATCAGTTTTCCATGTTTAGTAGTTTCAGTGTCAATTTGTTTTTCACAGCCTTTGCAGTACTATTCAGATATGTGGGACATCCAGTGACCTACCTGGGACCTAGATGGTGGTTTATCCTGGAGTTCAGTTCTCAGAATTATGGTATACTGTTTAGTATCAAATCCATGTAGCTCAGCGTGAACCCAATGTTATGAAATTACTTTCCTGAGCTGCTCCCCCTTCACAATTTACTTGGTGCTTTATAGTCTCCTAGAGCTCCTTTAAATAATGTTAGATTTGGTTCTGATGCAGTTGAATTACTTGAAATCAGCTGGGTCCTTTTGAAGCTTGCTTTTTAAAGCTTTTTAATGATGATCACATAGCTGCTTTCATGCTAACTTAGCTCTACTATTAAGGCAACATTCTTCAGATGAGTCTACTGGAGGCCCATGTATTATATGATCTTTCTTCTCTGGTTAATGGGATCAGAAATCATTCTTAGTTCTCAGGGAGCTACAGGAATTGTCTTACTACAATTTTCTGGTAATTCTCTCCTTGTCCTTGGATAGTATCTTCTCAAGTATGTGCAGATTAATACTTAGCCAAAGAGTTAATGCTAATGTCTAGAACTCAGCAGTTCTTTCTTCTTTGGCACTCTACTCCCATATTCTAGATTCTTTAGCCTTCCTCATATCTCTCTTATCTTATCTCTCTTTCTTCTACTCATTCAGACCAGCATGCTCTGTTCAGGTTTTACTCTCCTATGCTATGACGTGGAAACTATTTCCAGACAGTAAGCCGGTAGAGTTGTAGGGTTTCTAACTGGTTTGTTTCCCTTTTTTAAAGGATTATTTAGTCCTGTCCTCCTTATTGTCCAATGTCTGAAAACATTTTCACCCCACATAAATTGTCCAATTTTTTATTTATTTAAGTTTTGAGGGTAAAGTTGGTCTCTATTGCAGTGTCTTAGCCCAAAGCAGAAGTGTCAAAGATTTTTTTTTATCCATTCACTAGCCTATTTCTTTTTGATAGAACCTAGAGATCCATGTCACCATCTTTAAAGTTTTCTGAACTTTTTACACCTACAACTAATACAATGTTATATGTCAATTTAAAGAATGAATTAATTTCAAAAAAGATTTCCAGACATTGAAAATCCAAATATTTTCCTTTACTTTTCATTTTAACACACACTAAACTAAGAAAATTTTTATTTTTTCTAAGTGAAATGATTTCTTAGTCAAGATTACTGCTACTCTGTTGAAGTTTCTTGTTTTTCTTTGACTTTACTTGATGATCTCATAGAGTTGTTTTGATGACCAAGTAGTATAACATTTGAAATTCTTTAAAATGTGTTATTCAAATGTAACATACTATTCTGAGCCATCTGGTGGACTTTATAAATGAAGCCCTAGTGGGATATTGTATTAATTTTTTCTAAAAATGTTATTTTATATATAGTTATTTTCCTCCCACAAGTACTGAAAATCTTTAGAAGAGTAAATATTTGTATTCTGATTTTATAAATAAAAATTTCCCCACTACAACTTCCTTTTAGTTTGGTATGCCACAACTAAGGGAATTGTAGCTATATTGACATATCAGCCTATTATCTTTCAAAGTTGACAAAGAGTGGGGAATGAGAATTATGTGTTTTAGGAAGCTGTCACTTTTGATTTAGTGTAACTCTGAATAGCTTTGGATGGAGGAAATTAAATCTATTAAACCAGAAGATTATATTTAACCTAGTTAATAGTTCAGTCTTTTGGTTATTACCTCTGTAATTTTTTAAACATATTTATTTTATATTTAAGCAACTGATAATTTGTTGAAGAACTTTAATGAGGACTTAGTTATTTAAAAAAAAACTATTTCAAATTTTGCAGGTAAATGAAATAATTAACTGTGTTTCTCTTGCTTAGCAATTATGGAATGGTCAGCCTTGGATGAATCTACTTCTAACAGAAGGTTATCAAATATTTCAGAATGCTATCTACAATATAGGAAGAAAAGTACTTTATCTTCCAGACTGTTTGAACCATCATTATTCCCAAATTTAAATGGAAAAAACCTCCAATATCATAAAATTATGGAGGATAATGATTACCTTGAATATAAAAGGTTAAAAAATCCTTTGCAAATAAAAAAATTCCCAAGTGGGTTTGCTAGCAGCAATATAGGACTCCAGGAACCATATTCAAAGGACGGCATAAACTCTAAGAAACGTTCAGAGAAGATTGAAATTCATGACTCAAAGTCTATACCGCATAACTTGAAGAGGATTACAAGCCTCAAAAAGTCTCTGGATAAAAGTGATACTTTTAGGATCCCCAGACTTCAGAAGCCAGATGTGAGAAGGCATTCCAGCCCCCTAAAACAGGTTTCATCAAAGGAAAAAACTGCAGTGAATGCTCTGGGTCAGTATCTTATATGTAAGTCAAAATCTAGGTCCTTGAGTTCTTGAGTTATCACAGAAATGAGCTGAATTAATCAGTTATTACATAGTTGTATGCATTTTAATTGTCAGTACTTTTGAGTAACTGCCACTTCTGGTCTATAGGCCAATGCATAGAACACTGTGGTTTTGACCGTTGTGCCTTTCCAGATGCTCCCTTTTTCAGATTCCTAACTTTGACCAAGAGTCTTATTCAGTAATTAACCGGACTGACTCAAGTTCCCTACTAAATAGAAGGCCTGTTTTCTTTTGGAAATGGTTATTTTGTCATTTACTTAACAAAGTAGGTAGGAAGTCTATGTGAAATTTTTGCTAAGGTTCCATAATTTAAAGCTATGATATCCATATTCCATATGATAAGATAATACTTCAGATATTATTTCCTATGGATGTGGGAATATCAAGAGAAAATTAATATTATACATCTCAGCTCCCCTGGGCTTTATAGTCTTCCTCAAAGATAAGTCAGGCTTAAAAAAAAAAAAAGGATAAGTAAGGTTTCCCAAATGATACATGTTTTCATACTTCTGTGGTACCTCTATCACAGAAATACTGTGTATAGAACTTAATTAAATACTCCTTCCTGCAGTCCTTGACTGAGGTTACTTAAGTTATGTTTATTTTCTTTAAAGAAACATAGTGACCTTTTTATTGCACTTCATATTACATGTAATTATTAAAATGAGTGCTTAGTGAAATATTAGTGATTCATACACAGTAATGCATGTTTTCAATAACTCAGTTGGAAAAGGAGTGTGCTCTATTAAGGAGGCACAACAATGTTTGTTTGAGTCCTTTACCAATGCCCTATTATTACTCTGTGCCTCATTCCTATTTCTGAGTTCTTTATATTCCAGGAAGAATTAAAAACCTAGTTAAAGGAATAATGGAATAGTAAGCCTTTACCCAGTGAGCAGAAGACTGTGGAAGAAAGTGGTTATTTATCTTCCCAGTGTCACTAAAATCAAATCACCTACCATTGCCATGCTTCATGTTCTGTGTATAGAGAAGTGTGAAATATGGTATGACTTCCAAAATAAAGTGTTGGTAATTGAACATCTATGAAATGTGACTGTCACTTGATTTATATTTTAAAAACATTTTTAACTTTTCATTTAAAAATAATTTTAAAATCATAATAATTACACAAAGGTAAAGACATTCCTATATAGTCTTCATCTAGTTTTCCCAGGTGTTAAGATCTTGTATGACCATGTTAAATGCACTGAACAAGGAAATTAACACTGATATAATATTATTTACTATTCTGAAGACCTTATTTGATTTTTTTCATTTGTTCCATAAATGTTCTTTTTTAAAAATTGACATACAATGTATTACTTGCCCCAGGCGTACAGGTCTGTGAATCATCAGGCTAACACATTTCATAGCACTCACCATAGCACACACCCTCCCTAATGTCCATAAGCCAGCCACCCTATCCCTGTCCCCTTCCCCAAGCAACCGTCAGTTTGTTTCATGAGATATCTGGTTCAAGGTTTCATCCAGGATCTCAGATTACATTTAATTGTCATGTATCCTAAGTCTCTTCAGATCTGGGATAGTTTCATGACCTTGACACTTTTGAAGAGTATTGACTAGTTATTTTGTATAATGTCCCTCATTTGGATTTTTTCTTGTATTTATTCATGAATAAGTTCAGGTTATACATTTTTGGCTGGAATATCACTAAAGTGATATTGTGATACCATCTCAGTGCATGGTATCAGGGGGCTCATCATGGCCATGTATATCTGCTTCTAAAATTTTATGATTTTGAAGATTGTGAACGGAAAGTATGGTAGACCAGTGGAGCACTGGGCATTATACGCAAACAATGAATCACAGAACACTATATCAAAAACTATTGATGTACTATATGGTGACTAATATAATTTAAAAAAACAAGAAGAGAACAATAAAGTGATGGGAAGGGCACAAAATCTCATTTTTTGCTTGGAATTCTAGAATTTGAACACATTAGTGTTATGATCTCTTGAACTCATATATTATATTTTAATCAGAACCAAGCAGCATTGGCTGAGCAACTTGAACAGGTTGTTCCTCCAAGCAAATAGTTCATAAATGCTTATAGAATTTTCAAGATTGTTTTCTGTTTGAACTACAAGGGAAATATTTACAACAGAAATATGAAGAAAAAGCAGTCCTGTGAAATAATAAATAGATAAAACTTGTTTTCTGATTACTAGGTAAAGATTTTGGGTGCTAATTGTTGCTTAAGACACATAAATTCTGTAGCTGAATAGTACTTTACATTTTATACATTTAGAAAACATCTGTGAAGCTATCCATAAACTCCAAGAAAATTACATTGCTGCGGAAGAACTTCAGTCCGTTTTGCCTTCACTAGGAATTACTTTATCAGACAAAGAGCTCAAGAAGATTGTGACAGATACTACTCAAAATGGTGAGATTGATAATGCCAAACTTCTTGAGAAAATTAGGTAGTTTTATGGATAGTATTAAATGATGGAATAAGTTCATTCAACTAGGAATGGAGCAGAATGGGCCATGCCAAAGAAGATTCTAAAAGAACAGATACAAAAATGGAAAATAGTATTTAAAAAAAAAGTTGCTGGGAAGTCTGACCTAATGGATTGGTTTGGAGGAGCTAGGCCTTTTATATCTCAATTTTTTATGTGGGACTCCATGACTATCCCTTAGCTATACCTTCTAGTTTGGAACATGTACTGTGGAAGTCTGATCCAGTTGTAGGGAGGTTTAGGCAATAAAACCACAATATCCAAAGGGTACAAAAATCTCTGAGCAAATAACCCAAGGATCCAAGAAGAAATCATTGGAGATTCCAAAATGGAGGAGGAGTGGTATGGCTAGGAATTTAGGACTAGTGCTACTTAAACAAAAAGGCAGTCAGTTAGCATCTAGAAGATGTTAAATGGCATATCCCAGTCACCAGCTTAAGTTCAAGGCAGAGTTTGAGTTTCCAGGAAGGGTTATTGTGTTAGAGAAGTTGTTTTATCATTAAGTAAGAACTGCCCATAGCAGAAGTTTAGTTGAGAAGAAGGCAGAGGCAACATTTTGGGAAAAGACTGACTTGGGAATGTGTTAGAAATGAATTCTTAGAACCTGAGAAAAATTTCCTGGCTAAGGTAAATAGAAAAGATTTGTTTAAAAAACAATCTCAGGAATAGGTGCTACTAAAATTATTGAGCCCTTTCTTTTCTTTTCTTTTTTTTTTTTAAGATTTATTTATTGGTCAGAGAGAGATCACAAATAGGCATAGAGGCAGGCAGAGAGAGAGGAGGAAGCAGGCTCCCCACTGAGCAGAGAGCCCAATGCAGGGCTTGATCTCAGGACCCCGAGATCATGACCCAAGCCGAAGGCAGAGGCTTAACCCACTGAGCCACCCAGGGACCCCTATTGAGCCCTTTCTGTTGCTTATCAGGATTGGTATGATCACTGTGGAGGCTCTGTACGTAAAAATAGATAGTTATTTGGATCAGCTGGATGTAGGAGGTAGAGATGGGGACACTTGGGTCTGTAAGGAGTGGTTAGTATTGTCAAGGTGTCTTAATGGGTAGCATATTGAGTAGGTTTTCATGATGGTGTGAAATAGACTCTAATTTCTCATGGTCCATCTGTATGGGCACTTTTCCTTTTTCCTATATCTATCAACAACTGAGTACTTAACTCAGTCCATTGCACTTTATCATAGATATTTAAAAATTGTTAAGTAATTGTTGAAATGAAATGAACTGACCTAATTTAGAAAGACTCGTCTACGGAAATAAGATATGAAGACTCAATAGGATGATGACAAAGTGAAGAAGTAATTCTTTCTTAGTTGTATTAAAAAACAAATTTACCTTTTATGCAAAAACATAACAATGCATAATCCAACTCTTTATTTTACAGAAAGTGGAATGGTGAACTTAGATGACTTCATGAATGTTCTCTCCATGGAGCAAAGTCCTCCTGAATATGATGGTAAGTGGGAAGTTTATTTTTAAAATGATTTGGAGGAAAGAAACAGGTTGAAAAGAGTTAGGTTCGACTGAACTGAGTTTGCTTTTTGGATAGATACTTAATAGTCCTGAAATCCTCAGGCAAGTTTGTTAAAGACTTGCCCTGTCAAGGTAATAATAGCTAACTTGCTTACCTCCCAGAGTTGTTATGTGGATTTTAAAAACTATAAAGTACTAGGGGTGCTTGGGTGGCTCAGTGGGTTAAAGCCTCTGCCTTCGGCTCAGGTCATGATCTCAGGGTCCTGGGATCGAGTCCCGCATTGGGCTCTCTGCTCAGCGGGGAGCCTGCTTCCTCCTCTCTCTCTCTGCCTGCTCTCTGCCTACTTGTGATCTGTCTGTCAAATAAATAAATAAATAAAATTCTTTAAAAAAAATAAATAAAAACTGTAAAGTATTACATAAATGTAGAGTAATAGTAAGGAAATGAAGAGATGAAATAGGTAATTAGCTACATTCTTAGCAATTGATAGGTGATTTGATTTTTAATTTTTTAAAATACTTTTTTCCTTTATTTGTGAGAGAGAGAGAGAACGAGAAGAAGACAGCACAAGCAAGGGGAGCGACAGGCAGAGAGAGAAGCAGGCTCCCCGCTGAGCAAGGAGCCCAATGATGGGATGGTGCGGGACTCTATTCCAGGACTCTATTCCAGGACTCTATTCCAGGGATCACGACCTGAGCTGAGTCACCTAGGTGTCCCTGATTTTTAATTTCTTGTAAAGGACTTGTTTAAATGAAACACTGGTTTGGTTTGCCTTTGTTTTAGAACATTTCTAAAAAACAATTCTATTGAGGTACAATTTACATACGTAAAATTCACCTGTGCAATTTTTATGAAATTTACTGATATATAACTATAACTACAATCCAGTTTTTAAAAAATTTTTGCTTGCAGTGATTTTATTTTTTATACAAACAGTTAAATATTTTTCAGCAAGATTAAAAAATAGAAGATAAGGCTTATTGTTTATATTTCCTTTTATTTATTCATATGCTAAAGAAGAAAGATAAGCTTTTTGTTTCTTCCCAAAAGATTTCTCAGAAAAGGGAAAATTAATCCAAAGGAAAGATTTTCTCTTATACTTAGATAAAAAGTCTCATGTTGGGGCACCTGGGTGGCTCAGTGGGTTAAGCCTCTGCCTTCAGCTCAGGTCATGATCTCAGGGTCCTGGGATCGAGTCCTGCATTGGGCTCTCTTCTCCAAGGGAAGCCTGCTTTCCGCTCTCTCTCTGTCTCTCTGCCTACTTGTGATCGCTTTCTGTCAAATAAATAAATAAAATCTTAAAAAAAAAAAAGTCTCATGTTAAAAGCTACTTCATCATTTGTCCTTTCTGATAAATGTAAGTGCTTAAGTGTCTGGATTTCTTGAAGAAACTATTAGCAGATCGATTTCTTGAATGCTGCACCATGTAAGGTTATTCACCAACTCAGTTGTTGTTTCACTGCTGTTTTTTGAAATGTGGGAAATGTTCAGGCATTATTTCTTTGAGTATCTTTTTAACCATGGTCTCTTTCTCTTCTTCTGGGACACAAGTGTTAGATTTTTTGTTTGTTTGGTTTTTGTTTTTGAGAGAGAGAAAGCGAGCAAGTGGGAGCATGAGCAGGGGGATGGGGCAGAGGGATAGGAGTAAGCAGACTCCTGGCTGAGCAGAGAGCCTGATGATAAGCCTGATGTGGGGCTTGATCCCAGGACCCTGAGATCATGACCTGAGCTGAATGAAGTCAGATGCTTAACCGAGTGAGCCATCCAGGTGCTCCCTTAGGTTGTTTTTATATTCCTACAGGTCTCTGAAATTATTCCTTTTTTTTTGTTTTGTTTTGTCAGTTTTCTGTGTTTTTCATGGGGTTATTTCTATTTCTGTTTCTTAGTTCATTGATAGTTTCCTTTCTCTCCTCCCTTCAACTCTTGTGTCCATCTGCTGAGCTTTTTATTCTAGTTTTTGTATTTTTTAGTTATGAAATTTCCATTTGGACTTTGTTGGTGCGTGTTGGCTCTCTAAGTCTTCACATATTGGCCTTAAACAGGTAAGACCCTCACCAGTCAGTCCAGCAGATATTCTCTGGGCCTCTATGGACTTTTTCCTTACCCAGGCTCCAGGACTGACAAGACACATGCCAGTTCTTAAAAAGCTGAGGTGCTGAATGCATGAATAAACTCTTTTCCTCTTGGAGGGTGGGGGTGTTCTAAGAGTTGGAATTTTAATCTGCTCTGTGCTCAGCAGAAGGGAGGATCACTGGCATCTGCCAGCCCAAGCCACCACCTTTATTCTTTCTAAACAACTAGGCTATACTAGAATCATCAGAGCTTCAAGATTGGCAAGACAAGAGCCAATCTTCTGAGAAGGCCTTTTGGAAAAGTTGGACTGGTTGATGTGTGAACCAGTGGCTCTTTTCCCTTGGGTGAAGCTGGGAGCTCTTCTGGATCATAAGTGCTGCACTGGGAGGTGCTTTTGCAGGAGGTTGTCCCAAATCTTACTGCCAGCTTCAGTGCATCTGGTTTTGCCTTCTCCTGGGGTGTAAGAACCTTTCAGTTAGTTTCTGGTTTCTCACAAAGGAAATTTATTTTTGAATTATTTTTGAATTTCTACTGAAGCAGTGTGTTAGACTTCCTATTGAACCATTATGCTGATGTCACTTGTCAGCTCTTTACTTTTAAATGAAAATTTCTTTCACTTTCACAAGATAGGAACATGTATCTTGTACATATTTATATATAAGAATCATTTTTTTAAGAGTCATCTAATTCAGACATCATTTTGATCATTTCTTTGTTTAGCGTAATGATTTCCAGTGATTGCCTATAATTGATTAACTCCAGATAATGGCTTTAATGCCCTCCATTGCCCAGCTTCCTCACTTTACCTATTCTAATCTATTAGGGAAAGTATTTGAGTTTAGTTTGTTCCAATGTTTACATACCCCCACATCTGTCAACCTCCTTAATAATGCTATATGTTTGCAAGTTATTTTAAGAAAGCTTTCATTGCAGTAAAAATTTATCTGTTTAAATTTAATGAATGGAATACTGCCCAAATTTGTGAGGCATATATTCAAAAGTATTATAAAAAGACATGTAGAGGCATAATACTCCATAGTGTATATGGACCACATCTTCCTTATCCATTCGTCCGTTGAAGGGCATCTTGGTTCTTTCCACAGTTTGGAGACCGTGGCCATTGCTGCTATAAACATTGGGGTACAGATGGCCCTTCTTTTCACTACATCTGTATCTTTGGGGTAAATACCCAGTAGTGGAATTGCAGGGTCATAGGGAAGCTCTATTTTTAATTTCTTGAGGAATCTCCACACTGTTCTCCAAAGAGGCTGCACCAACTTGCAGTCCCACCAACAGTGTAAGAGGATTCCCCTTTCTCCACATCCCCTCCAACTCATGTTGTTTCCTGTCTTGCTAATTTTGGCCATTCTAAGTGGTGTAAGGTGGTATCTCAAGGTGGTTTTAATTTGAATCTCCCTGATGGCTAGTGATGATGAACATTTTTTCATGTGTCTGATAGCCATTTGTATGTCTTCATTGGAGAAATGTCTGTTCATATCTTCTGCCCATTTTTTTATATGATTGTCTGTTCTGTGTGTGTTGAGTTTGAGGAGTTCTTTATAGATCCTGGATATCAATCTTTTGTCTGTACTGTCATTTGCAAATATCTTCTCCCATTCTGTGGGTTGCCTCTTTGTTTTGTTGACTGTTTCCTTTGCTGTGCAGAAGCTTTTGATTTTGATGAAGTCCCAAAAGTTTATTTTGGCTTTTGTTTCCTTTGCCTTTGGAGACATATCTTGAAAGAAGTTGCTGTGGCTGATATCCAAGAGGTTACTGCCTATATTCTCCTCTAGGATTCTGATGGATTCCTGTCTCACGTTGAGGTCTTTTATCCATTTTGAGTTTATCTTTGTGTACAGTGTAAGAGAATGGTCGAGTTTCATTCTTCTACATATAGCTGTCCAGTTTTCCCAGCACCATTTATTGAAGAGACTGTCTTTTTTCTGCTGTATATTTTTTCTTGTTTTGTCGAAGATTATTTGACCATAGAGTTGAGGGTCCATATCTGGGCTGTCTACTCTGTTCCACTGGTCTATGTGTCTGTTTTTATGCCAGTACCATGCTGTCTTGGTGATCACAGCTTTGTAGTAAAGCTTGAAATCAGGTAACATGATGCTGCCAGTTTTATTTTTGTTTTTCAACATTTCCTTAGCGATTAGGGGTCTTTTCTGATTCCATACAAATTTTAGGATTATTTGCTCCAGCTCTTTGAAAAATACCAGTGGAATTTTGATCGGAATGGCATTAAAAGTATAGATTGCTCTAGGCAGTATAGACATTTTAACAATGTTTATTCTTCCGATCCGAGAGCATGGAATGGTCTTCCATCTTTTTGTGTCTTCTTCAATTTCTTTCATGAGTGTTCTGTAGTTCCTCGAGTACAGATCCTTTATCTCTTTGGTTAGGTTTATTCCCAGGTCAGAAAGGATGAATACCCAACTTTTGTAGCAACATGGACGGGACTGGAAGAGATTATGCTGAGTGAAATAAGTCAAGCAGAGAGAGTCAATTATCATATGGTTTCACTTATTTGTGGAGCATAACAAACAGCATGGAGGACAAGGGGAGTTAGAGAGGAGAAGGGAGTTGAGGGAAATTGGAAGGCGAGGTGAACCATGAGAGACTATGGACTCTGAAAAACAATCTGAGGGTTTTGAAGCGGGGGCGGGTGGGAGGTTGGGGGAACCAGGTGGTGGGTATTGGAGAGGGCACAGATTGCATGGAGCACTGGGTGTGATACAAAAAACAATGAATACTGTTATGCTGAAAATAAATTTAAAAAATTAAAAAAAAAAGTTAAACTTGAATATCATTCAGACATGCAAATTTTATTGTACTTTGGTTTATTAGTCAAATAGTTCATTTTATCTGTTTCAAATTTTGTCATCAAGGAAAATAAATTTGGTAAATTTTTAAAGAGTAATTTAAACATAATTGTTAAGAACAAAGAAATAAAATAAATATAATAGACAAAAAAAAAGACATGTAGAATAGTTATTTCCAAGTAATAATACTTATATATACAGAAGATAAACCAAGATAAATTAACCAAAGCCTGAGCCATATATTGCAATGAAACCTTACCCCATTATTCATTTGGGATTGAGGGTTTTCTACTTCTGTTTCTGCTACTGAGAAACATACTACTAGGAAATTTTAAATTATTAGAGAATTAAATGAGGAAATTGTATAATATTTTTGTTCCTATGTGTTCAAATTGCAATTAAATTGGCACTTCCTTAGATACAGAGACTATAGCAAAGTAGAATATGTTTTTGGCTCTGATTTTTGTACCTTGTTGGCTTTCAATACTATTTAAGAGTCTGGTACTTCTTTTTATACATAACATTTCTGAAGTTGTTGTTTGTTAACTTAGTATTAGAACTAAAATTCATCTTACTATTGGTGTTTTCTTTTTAACTTTTATATTTAATACTTAATAGCATATTGCTTTATTTTCAGAGTTGACTGATGTCATTAAAGCCATTGATAAAATTAAAAATGAAAATATGGATTTGGAGGATCTGAATACTTGTCTTCAGGATTTTGGAGTTTACCTTTCTAAGCCAGAATTTGAGAAGATCACAGAGTTGACTGAAGCTAATGGTAAGTCATATATTTTTAGGAAAACTGGGCTTACACATATGAAAGAGGGTTGCTTTGCTATTTTTTCTCCTCAGAATTATGACTTTATTATTTTTATTAGAAAGAAAGGTCACTAAAATTAAACCAATACAGAAAAATACTCAGAAGTACAACAAAACACACAAAATCCCATTATCCAGAAATAACCAGTAATAATCATATGTTCAGACATTTTTTTCCTATAGGCAAACATGAAAACAAGAAGTAGGGTTTCTGATTTTGCTTTCTGACAAAGGGCACTAAATGGGACAAAGGACTCTATTATGTCAAAGCCTGCAATTCATAATGAAGGTACTAGTTTGACCCTTATAACTAGCTAACTTTGTTATAGTTATAAATAGCCAACTTTGGTGAGTTTTAGCCTTATAACTTAGCAGCTACTTTTCTAAAGGGATGATTGGTAGTCAAGTAGAAAAATGGGTGGGGTTTTTAGGTAAAATGGTAACAGACATGAATTGATAATATTTGCAGCTAGGGGGAGAGTAAATGAGCTTTTATTACAATTTATCTTTTACTTTGTGTATATGCAAAATTCTCCATAATAAAAAGTAAAAAAAAAATGTGAAAAAGAAATAGGAGCAAACCTATGAGAAAAAAATGGTAAGACTTATTTAAAACATTGTATAATACCTAAATAAATGGTGATATATCCCATATTCATGGATTCAGAGACCCTAAACAGTCCGTTCTCCTAAATAATTTATTTATCCACAGCAATTCTGTTAAAACCTTGACATTTTTTGATGACTTAATTCTAATATCTGTATGCATGAACAAAAGCCAAGAATAGCTAAAACACTCTTGAGGGGGGGAAAAACATGTTTAGGGGTGTGTGAGTAGTGTTGGAGGGAACTTTCTCTCCTGGATGTCAAAACTCATTATAAAACTATAGTAAATAAAACAGTGTGAGAATGGCACAGAGACTGAGAAATTGACTGATAGGACAGGATAAGAAACTTAGAAATATATCCCCACATGCATATGAAAACATATATAATGAGGTGGCAGATCACAGGGGGGAAAACACCATTTAATAAATGGTGCTGGGATAATTATTCGAATGCAAAAAATGAAATCAGATCCCTATCTATGTATCATATTCAGTAATAATTTCCAGATGTGAACAGTAAAAGTTTTAGAAAAAGAGAAGAAAATTTTTCTGACTTACAGTTAGGAAAGATTATTTTTAAGATACAAAATCACTAACTAGAAAAGATTGGTAAGTTTGACTACACTTAAAGACTTTTCTTTATTAAAAGATAATACAAACAGAATGAAAATACAAGCCACAAATCGAGTGAAGATTACTTGCAATACTTAGAACCTCAAAAGGTGAGGTGGAGAATATATTGGGAACCCTATAAATTAACAACCCAATAGAAAAATGACTAAATTATAAGAACAGCCATTGCAAGATGAAGGAACACAAGTTGCTAATAATCATATGAAAAGACTCTCAACATCACTAGTAATCAGGGAAATGCAAAATTTAGGTCACAGTGAAATGTCTTTTTATACCCACTAGATTGGCAAAAATTAAGAAATCTGTTCATGTAATGGTTGGTAAGTAAGACAAAAGTGGTAAAGGAACTTTGAAAAACATTATGTAGTGTTTTGAATGGTTTTCATACTTCATGACTTGGAAAATCAATGTTTAGCTATAGATCTCAGAAATCTCTTGCACTGATGTACAAGGAGACATGTTTAAGAATGTTCATGGCAGCACTGATCTTAATAGCAAACAAAAAAAAAGAAACATCAGTGATAGAATGGTTAAAGTTGTGCCCATCGGTGCATAAAGAAATACTAATAGTCTGTACATTAGTGAAAACAATATACTATATGGGTGATTCTTGGAAATATAATATTGAATGAAAACAAGTCTCAGATTGCTCTAAGAATCTGATAATTTTTATCAAGTTGTAAAACAAAATTAAGGAATATTTTGTTTATCCTTATATGTAAAAAACTTATATGTTAAAACCCAAGAGATTGGTAATACTGAAAAATTCAGCAATGCTCTCTCTGTAGAGAGACAGTAGAAAGGAATTGAAAAAGCACAGAAGCGGGTGTAGTGGTATTAATAATGTTCTTCAAATGGATGGTGGGTTCAGTGGTTCAGCTGAAACATATGTGTATCAAATAGACCTTACCAAAATAAGGGAATCTATTGCTTTAGAAAGTTCTATGTTCCTGTTAGTGAATAGCAATCTTCATTAACTCTAACATTCCCCCAGAATTTTTTGAAGTCGCATTTTTTTTTTAAGTCTCTAAATATTTGGCTAAGAACACAAAGTGATTTGGTGCTCTTTAAAGTAAACCTTTCAAAGATATTTAATCTTGGGAATAGGACAATAGGCTGTACCTTATCTTTTATAGATTAGAATTAGAATTTTTTTAAGTGGGATAAGCAAAGGTGTAGAGTTATCAAAAGTTCATTATATTTATGTAAACCCTTAAAGTGGCCTTAGAAAATTCTTAGAAATTTTTTATCCATTTCAATATTGGGAGATTATATATAATCAAGGAGAGATATTTTCTAAGTATAAAATGGCTATTGAAGTGTTTAATAGTTTCAACAGTATACTGGAATAAAGATAGCAGTGTGAATGGTAGCCTGATACGGAAGAAAACAAGTCAAGAGAGCTCCCTTCTAATCTCTGATCTTCTATTTCCTTTTGTGACCTGGGAAAAAAGTCATGATATCATGTATAAGTGTTTTTTCTAAAACATACTAGTTCCTCACCTACATATCTTAGTGAGTTGTTGCAAGGCCAAGGCAAGGTAATATAAGTTAAAATTAAAAATGTTGTGCACTTGTGACTAGAAAGATTTTGATTAATTTTCCTGGTAATTTTCAGCATTTACTTTTTTCCTGTAAGTTAAATTGCTTTTCCCTCTTATAACCATGTATTTTTAGTGATATTAGCTGATGGCTCTAATTATATTATCTCCCTAAATAGAGAATTTATTTTACATAATTCAATATTTGTCTTAATAATTTAATACTTGAAGATACTGAAAAAAATGTTCTTTTTCCCTTTTAGAAACAAAAAAGGCGAATTTTAAGGAATTTGTTGATACAATGTTGACCAATACAGAACGCTTCTCTGAAAAATTATGTATGTAAAACAATCATTTTTTGTGCTTTTAGTGGATCAAATGGTGTGATAGATTTTAGAAGAATATAATTTACAAAAAGACATCCTACAGTTCATCAGGCAAATAAACGCCTGGCTTACTGCTGATATGTTTGGCCTTAATCTTCTCCAGTAATGATCCCTAAATCCAGAACGACTTCTGTGTGCAAATGAGTTGAAAATTATCATAATCTCACACTTTTTATAGAGAGTTAGAAATGCGTATATAAAATTCATTTTGGAAAGAGTTAAATGTCTTCCCAATTTGGGGAAGTGATGCCATCTAGTGACTATAGTTGAGTACTAATATGCAGATTTTCTACTTAAAGCTGTATTTTTTTTCATCTTCTAATTTATTCAGTAACATTTCTTGAGCCACTGTTATGTATCAGACTTTATGTTAAGTTGTGAGTATGGTAAGCTGAGAAAGACATTCTTTGCCATTCAGAAGCTCACTCTAAAGAAATATAAGGTCATATATGTGTGTTTTAAAAATTGGGGTTACGGGCACCTAGATGGCTCAGTCGATTAAGCATCTGACTCTTGATCTCAGCTTAGGTCTTGATCTTGGGGTCATGAGTTCAAGACCCGCATTGGGCTCCATGCTGGGTGTGGAGCTTACTTTAAAAAAATGGGGTTAAAAGTAGCATTTTGTTATTTTGTGCTTATTAAGTAATACTGCATTCTAAGTAAGTTATTTTACCTAATATAAATCCATTTAATTTGTTTTCTATACAAGAAAACAATAGATTATTTGGATGAAGAGATTATTTGCATTGTTAATTACTTCATTTTTCCTAGGAATTTCAGTTTCATGGAGATAAAGATTTTATTAGCACATATTCATATCTGTAGTTAAATTTCCTTTCTCATTCTTAATATTACACATTTATGTTTATTGCTTTTCCTCTTTTCTTCATTTGATTGCTCATATCTTCATCAGACTGCTTATTGGTTTTGTATACCTCATTGGGACCTTCCATCCATTTCCCCCTCTACTTTCTCCTTTCCCACCAGTCTCTTCCTGTTCTCAATATTTTTTCTTAACTCAGCTTAAAAAATCTCTCTGGTCTGTGTGTCTCAAATACCCTAAATTCTCTTGCCCCTTTGTTATACCTAGCTGACAAAACTCCCAACCCTGCTTTCTCCTTGTGGCTGACAGCATTTCTAGAGAAAATTACACTGCTGAGCAGATCGAATAGAGTTCCACTATAAAGTCTTGATCAACACTGTCTGCTGACCCTTGACATTATCTAGGAATTATGTGATTGTTCCTCCCCAATTAGCTTATATTTTTTCACTCTCTGAAGTAACTATTTAAAATTTCCATCTCTCAAACTTCCATTCCTACCCCAGTGTCTACCCTTCTTACGTTTAGCAGATAACTTTGCCTTTATAGGGAAAATAGAAAGCCTGTCTCTGTTTTGAGGACATTAAGATATTTCCAAATATATTCTTTTAAACATTTTTAAGTTTTTCTTTTTCATATTTAAGTCTTTAATTCACCTGGAATTGATTTTTAAGTATGGAGCGAAATTGGGATCCAATTTGTTTTTTTTTTCCATAAGGATAATTAGCTATGACAGTTTTATGTTAATTCTCTGTTTCAAATTTATGTATTATACAAATCATTTGATTTGAAACCCAACATAGCCTGGGGATTTAGGTTATTGTTGGAGATTTATTCCCCCTATTCATGCCTCAGGCAGAGAACAGCTTGCTTCTTGAATTCCTAAAAAGGTGACCAGAGTGTTTTTAGTTATAATTTTTAGCATGGAAGACTTTCCAGGGTGCTTGTTTTAAGTAGGCATCTCAGTTATAATTCTAGATAGACCATATCTGTACCACATAACAATAATAGTTACTACTAGTACTCATATTTATTGAATGCTTACTATGTGCCAGTACTCTTCTAAATACTTTTTATTTATTAAGTCATTTGGTTTTCATATCAACTCTATTATTATTTTTTATTTTATGGATGTGAAACCATGGCATGGAGGTTAAAAAAGTCATGTAACTAGTCTGCGGTAGAGTTAAGATTAGAACTCAAGTGAAGCTTATGCTCTTAACTTCTATATTATACCAGCTGACTGGTGTGGCATCAGCATAGGCACACACAAATCATATTTCTTCCCCGTTTCTGGTATCTGATGTTTTCCCTTTCTATTGAGCTTAGCATTCAATTATTTAGGCCCCAAAGTTAGGAGTCATTCTTGATCTTTTTTCCCTTATGTCCCTAGCTTCACCACCCTCTTCCTTCATTCAGTTCATTACCAAATATTATTTTTATTGATATTTTGACTTAGTATAGCATATGTTTTGTGTTGGAAATTGAAGGGGAATGTGGCTGTTGTTAGAATACTATATTGCCAGTTCTTTAAAAATACTCATTCAGGTTTTGACTTTGCCACTCCATAGTAGCTTTTTTTTTTTTTTTTACAAAAGTTAAATCTCATTTTGTTAAATCTAATCGTCAATTTTTTGTTTTCATCTTCTTTACCTCCAGCAGTTTTTTACTTCAAGTATTATTTACGTACAGTGTTGTATTAGTTTCAGGTATACAGCATAAGGATTCAACAACTATTCTTGTTTTAATTTAATATGTTTACTCAAAATTTTTCTTGTGTTTTCTGTGACACTGTAATCTTCTAATTTCTCTCCCACCTTATTGGCTCTTCCTAAAAATTGAGATTTAATTGACATGTAACATTGTGTAAATCTAGCCATACGAAGTGCTGATTTGATACTTATATATTGCAATATGATCACCACCATATATAACTAACACCTTCATCACATCATGTAATTATAATTATCATTTTCTTTTTTGTGGTGAGAACACTAAGATTTAGTTAGAAACTTTCAAGTACATAATACAGTATTGTTAACTATAATCACAATGCTGTGCATTAGATCCCCAGAACTTCTTCATCTTCTAATTGTAAATTAGTACCTTTTAACTACATCTTCCCAAATTCTCCACCTGGTAACTACCATTCTACTCTTTTTAAAAAATGTAATTAATTAATTATTTTTTAGTTCTTTTTAGATGTGAGACCTTACAATATTTGTCTCTCTCTGTCTGCTTCATCTTACTAAGTCCTTAAAGTTCTTCCATATTTTCACTAATGTCAAAATTTCCTTCTTTCTTTCTTTTTTTTTTTTTTTAATTTATTTGACAGACAGAGATCACAAGTAGGCAGAGAGGCAGGCGGAGAGAGAGAAGGAAGCAGGCTTCCTGCCAAGCAGAGAGCCTGATGCGGGGCTCAATCCCAGGACCCTGAAATCATGACCCGAGCTAAAGGCAGAGGCCTACCCACTGAGCCACCCACGCGCCCCAAGATTTCCTTCTTTCTTAATAGCTGAATAATATTCCATTGTAAAATTGCTCTTCTTTTTTGGTCTTATTTGCTGGCTGCTTCCTTTCTGGCTTACTTTTAAATGTTAGCATGATCCCAGAATCCATTCTGAGTCCCATTCTCTAAGCCTCTTCCTGAATAATCTTACTACTTTAAATATCTCTGTCCTTTTGACTCTCCGTTTATCTCATACTTAATATGTATAAAAAGGAATTCTTGCTCTCCAATAATCTTATTCTTTCCCAAGTCTCTCTTATCTCAGTTTTTGATGCCACTATCCACCCAGTTGCTCAGTTCTCAAACCTAGGAGTTCTTCATGGACCCAGTCTCTGATTCACCACAAAATAATCTCAACTTTGGGGCACCTGGCTGGTTCAATTGGTAGAGCGTGTGGCACTTCATCTCTGGGTTGTAAGTTTGAGCTCCACATTGGATGTAGAGATTACTTAAAAATAAAATCTTAGGGGTGCCTGGGTGGCTCAGTCATTAAGTGTCTGCCTTCAGCTCAGGTCATGATCCCAGGGAAGCCTGCTTCTCCCTTTCCCACTTCCCTTGCTTGTGTTTCCTCTCTCACTGTGTCTCTCTGTCAAATATATAAATAAAATCTTAAAAAATAAAAATAAATAAAATCTTAAATATTCTCAGCTTCATTCTCAAAACACATCTTTTTATATGTCTAGTTCTCATTATCTTCGTCACTATTACCCTTGTTGAAGCCACTGTCATCTTTTTCTCTGAACTACTACAGTAGCTTCCTAATTGCCTGATCTTCCGGAGAGTCCATTCTCTATACAGCAGCAAAGTGATCTTCTACACATTTGTAATGAGATAATTTCACCACCACCCACATTAAACCTTCCATTAAATTCTATTGGAATTAAAAAAAAAACAACCACAAAACTTCCTCCCATGGTCTGCAATGTTAGATTGAAGAGAAGTAAGATCCAGGGAAGAACATTGAGGGGAGATGTAGAGCAAAAGCTATTTAGTTCATGTTTTTATCAGTTGGGCTTGTTTATGAACTCAGACTTCTATAAATCTGTATAGTTCAATGCGAACTGCCCTTTATAGTGGTTACTTAGGGGTGGCATCATTATAAGTTCTTGAAATATTTCAGAATCCTCAAAGATACACTAATTCTGATGTTAAATATTTTATTGTGTTTTAATATTTTAAAATTGGCAGGGGCGCCTGGCTGGCTCAGTCGATAGAACATGGGACTCTTGATCTCGGGGTTGTGAGTTCCAGGCCCACACTGGGTATAGGGATTACGTAAAAATAAAATCTTAAAAAAAAAAAGAAAGAAAACTGGCAATCATTTATGCTGTATTTGTTATTACTATTAACCATGAAAGCCTTAATTCCTGACTAGTCCCGATAATAGTTTACTATACTAACTTGTTGGACAAGCATGTTGTAAAACTTGTGTGTTATCTACCCTTTAGTATTGCCTGATACTCTTGAAAACCTCCACAATTTAAGCAAAGAGAAGATGAATGTTTCTCACCTGTGGAACACTCTGTCTGGGATGAATAGTAACTTGAAAATAAAAGAATTCCGAAGTGCACTGAAATTAGCAACAGTTGATGGTAAGTAGTTCAAATATTAAAATTAAAAGATATCTAAGAATATGGTTCTATCTTCTATCTTTATTTTTCCTTGTATCTTATATTTGGTTGATATGCCAATATACACATTTAAGAAATATAAAGAAAGCTCAGATTGTTTGTCCTACAGAAAAAAATGTTAGTATATCTAACTTATTACTCTGAATTGATCAAATATGCATTGACTTACCTTCAAGTTGTGTAACATGTCACTGGAAAATGGCATATTCCAGTGAACACAGAAGATATTGTTAGGGAATGTTAGGAGATCTGTTCTGGTTTTTTATTAACACTACTTGGGATGTCCATACAATTTGTTGAAATAGGCTTTTAATTTTTAATTTGGTAGAAAAACACAACACCTAATGGTGGCTACCACTTCTACTTAGCAAATTAAAAAAAAAAAAGATTAAAGCAAAACAAAAAATAAGTTTGAAAAAGTACTGTAAAACAAAGACCAAAGACCAAAATTTTAAAGATAAGATTATCATTTACTGCTGATGTTCTGTAGGCAGGAGTGAGATAGAACGCAACCACAGGCAAACATTTCCACTCCCTCATAAAGTTACAAATGTATTATTGTACTCTTGTATGTGGAATGCTTATGCCAAACTAGCCTAGTAACAGAAGCATGCCTCCGGGGTCTTTGTCAAAGAACTGTCTTTCCCTGTGAGGATTAATTGCCCCCTTTTCTCCATTAAGCTCCTTTTTAAGTGATGCTGGTAATTTTGGACTTTAAGTGTGTTGATTGTTTTGTTTATTGAGATATTTGAGATGAGGAGGGTTAATCAAAATAGAAGGATATTTATGACTTGATAGTAGGGATTTCCGCCCTCTCTTTCATTGCAAAGCTTCAGTTTCCCTTGAGGGAGTGAGTGGAAGTTGAAGGCAACATGTACCAGAGAAAGTATTATATAGCATTTATTTTAATCAGACCAATAACGTATCATTTTATGAGCTATAAAAATAACTCAGCTATCTATGAAATTACTTACTGTGATAATAAAGAATAAATACTGTATCCTATTCATTATTATATACCTATAAAGCAAAAATGCAGTGTGTAAAATGTAGAACATTCTACCATTTAAATCCAAATAACATGCATAATATTGAAAATGTTGTGTGCCCCATCTGTCATACCATTTCTTCTCTTAACATTGGAACTTCAGTACAGAGATTTAATTCTTATTTTAATGCAGTGGTGTGAAAAGTTTTGAACCTTGTATTTTTGGCTTTGTATTTATATTTGGTGCTGTTAAAGCAGTAGAATTCTTTTCTTCTAAATGAACTCTTACAGAGTACCTTAGTATATAAATCATAAAACTTGAGTTTGTCTAATTAAAGTGGGGGAAATGACCAAGTGAACTGCTTAAGTAGCTCAACAGAGACCTAGAAACATGAAGAAGAACTTAAAAATTACTGACCTGGGGCACCTGGGTGGTTCTATCATTGGACGGTTTGCCTTCGGCTTGGGTCATGGTCCCAGAGTCCTGGGATCGGCCCCGCATCCAGCTCCCTGCTTAGCGGGAGGTCTGCTTCTCCCTCCCCCACTCCCCCTGCTTGTGTTCCTGTTCTCGCTGGCTCTCTCTCTGTCAAATAAATAAAATCTTAAAAAAAAAGTTACTTACCAAGGATATTCTTTTTTGATCATGGTGTGTTGAAAAGGAAAAAAATGGTTTAGGTTCCCTCTACTTAGTGAGATTGAATTATTACTTCTTGGTTATTGATGGTATTCTGTATTAACTCATTAATATTTCAAAGTGCATTTGAAGTTTTTAAAAAATATTTTATTTGTCAGAGAAAGAGAGAGAGAGACAAACAGAGAAGAAGGGGAAGGGGAAGGCAGAGGGAGAAGCAGGCTCCAGCTGAACAAGGAGCCAGATGCAGAGCTGGATCCCGGGACCCTGGGATCATGATCAGAACTGAAGGTGGACACTTTAAGTCACCCAGGTGTCCCTAAAAAATATTTTTACGGTGGTTACAAAAAGGCATTGAAAAATAGAAAAGATATTTATCATTTAGTAAATTTAGAAATACTTCCCCAATATCTCATTTTATAGCACCTGTATTCTATCCTGTGACCATAGACTATAATAATTCTAAATCCTTGTGCTAAGTTTCCCTGTTCCTGACTGGGAAAGCAAAGCCACCTCTGCCTCCTGTGTTTGTTACTTTGGCTTTTTAGTATCTGTGTGTTCTTTGTAAGAAATGAGTGTAAACATGTGTTGGAAATTATAGAACCATCTGGCATTGGAAAAATCTTTAAAGTTAATCTGGTACAGTATTTTTATCTGTAAACATTTGAAAGGTTAAACTAAAATTGAGGTTTGTCTCTTAGTGTTATCTCTAGGGATACGGATTACACAGTTTCTCTTGATTGATGGCTATTAAAAACTCAGCCTTTCTCCTATAATCTTAAGGTTTATTTATTCCATAAAATTGATCTTTTGGATAGTCAACAATATGAAAAGGAAATACAAGTACATCAAATGATTTACATTTTTAGAGATTGCTGCATTGGATCTTAAATTTTGCTTAGTAGGCTGATCTACTAAAAATGTTTGAATATAATAATATAAAAATGTTTTTCTTGCAGAAGGTGATGAAGTGCAAATAGAAGAATTTGGAAAAGTGGTAAAGGATATGCGTGATGCCTCCAGGTTAAAAGGTAAGTACTAGATTATTTGTGACTGTTAAATTTACTTTTATTGAATGGATGTCTTTTTGTTTTGTTTTTTAGTGTTTCTAGCTCTGCTAATTTCTGGTTAACATGTTGGCATTGATCTATTTTAAAGCAGGTGAAACTTGGTTTTGATTAAAAGTTGACAGCTTCCTTGATGAAAGAAAAAGGGCTTTTTTTGGAATAGGGTCTGTGTAATGCTATTTTAAATCCCTTTTTTGTATTTGGGCTTTATATAAAGTCAGTTACTGGCTTTAAATTTTTTCAGATATGAATATTTTCTGTATCATTTTAAGCCTCAGGCTTAGGATTCTACCTAGTGTATAGGCTTCTATATTATTCAATAAAATTTCTCAGGAATCTTCTACTGCTTCCTTTAGTAGACATTCCTTATGTTCCTTTTCTTGTTTTTTATTAAAACACAAGAGAGACCATGTACATTTTGGTAGCATGGGTAATTTCTACTACTTGACTTCTATTTTTGCTTAAAAATTAAAACAGAACTAAAACCAATGAAGATTATACTTGTGGAGCTTGTGTACTTTTTTGTTTAGAAAATAAGTTTTAAACTTAATGTCATTTATTTGAATAACCATTTAATGGTGATTAATGGTTATTAATTAATTATAAAAACTTAATGTAATTTATTTGAATAACCACTCATGATTATTTGGTCAATAAGCATTATCAGGAAAAGAATAAAACACAGTTATTTATGTGGGAACACAATCTGGATCCCCGGCAATGTGACTGGGGTCGTGTGAGATCCTGTGAGAAAACTCCAGGAGATGGAGGGCAAGAGTCTTCCTGGGCTGACGCCTGGAATAAACATGGGAGGATCCTGGGAGTACTTTCACATCCTCTTTTAGATGGATCTGATAAGTGTGGAGAATCATTAACTTGCTTTTGTTATTTAAAGCTAAGAGATAATCGTTGTTGTTGTTGTTGTTGTTGTTGTTGTTGTTGTTGTTGTAGTTGTTGGCTTGTGGCACTTGATTGCCTACAGGTAGCCCACGTCCTGCACGTAGCTCATATCTCACACTGCAGTTCATGTCCTGCACGTAAATCTATATCCTGTTTGTAACCGGATCTTGTGAAAAGTATAAAAGAAACGATTGTAAGAAATAAAGTAATCTACTGATCATCCCTCGGTAGTCCCATCATTTTGGCTCCAATCACTAGGATCCTCACCTCGCGAAGGTGACAATGTATTTAGGGAAACAGATGCAGAAAAATTTCTGTGTATAAAGAAGTAGACAAATCTCAGATTTTCAGTAACCACTCTGACCTGCATAGGAAATTTCTGACGTTATTGTTTCTCTTTTAGGTTAAGAAAAGTGTTTAATAAGTCCCTGTTGACATAAATATGTTACCTGGGTTACATAACATAATTAGTGTCAACATAGTACAGTTAGCTGAGGTCTAGGAAACAATGAATAGAGGTAGAAAAGAACACAGCCCATGGGGTATGATATATGGTGGTTTGTGGTTTTTTGACTTACCAGCTGGCTAATCTCTGTAGGCCATTCTGATTTCCTCACCTTTAAAACAAGGGAGCTAATGAAATCCTGTTTGTCATAGAGTTGTCAGGTTCAAGAGCAAAAACACATGTAAAGCATATGTATAACCCAATCATTAGGCACATATTATATACTTGTTAAATGGTAGTTAATTTTGAAATCAGACAGCAGAGCTCAGAAGGAGACTCGTATTCAGGACAGTGAATGAGGAGGAAGGAAAAATTTTTGAAATTAAGCCATTGGAAAAGAAGAACAGATACAGTTTAAGTACCTGAATCTGGGAAATGGTCACAATCGTTAGGGGAATGGCACTGGAATCTGTCAGCTAGTGCAGTGTAAGGCCAATAACTACAGGGAAGAGTTAGGAAGCACCCCCTAGAATACAAGTGTTAATGTAGCAGGCCTGAAGCTGCCCTCTTTAGAAAAACCTGCTTACAAGGTTGACCGGCTGGCACATGAGAACTTGGCTTTCAGAATGTTCACTTCATTAATAATGGATAAGGTTGGTTCACTGTGCCTAGACTATTTGTTGGCAAACTTGGAGAGACCTTAAAAATGGGCATGTTGTGAATACAGTTTTATGCTTTCCTTCAACATACCGCATAATTATAAAGGATTATGGTGAGGTGTCTGATCTTTTACTTTAAGATTTTAGTGGTGGGGCAGCCAATTCTAGGTAATGATGAAGATTAAGTATAGCGTTGGTTTGGATGACTTTGGAAGGTAAGTGAAGACTTTTTTAACTTAAGAGGTCAAGGTCATCCTTATTGTCATCAGATGACAACGGGAAATGGGGTTGAGGGAGGATTATGAGCAAGGTGCCAAGATCCTCAGAGATGGTGAAAGTGTGCTCTGACAGTAGTACATGATGGTTTCAGGAGGGTGGTGTAGGCAAATGACAGGCCTGAACCTCAGACAAAGGGCTAAGGTTTGACTGAAGGTGGAACCAAAGTAGCCTGACAGCAGCAGCAGAAATTTAGGGGTGCTTCTCTGCTTCCTGGCACTATGGGAACTTGGGACGATGAGCAGCCCCCACCCAAGATGGTTGTGCAAGGAAACCATATTTTAAAGGAAACCAAGTATTAGTGAAAACGAAGAAGCAGAACCGATGCAGGTTTTTAGGTGCCGGCAAAGCTCAAATTGCCATTTTCAGTTGCCTCCCCATGATGTTAGGACAGAAAGTGAGGCAGGTTCAAAGGTGCTAAGGAGCTGTGATTACTATTTATAGCTAGTTCCTGATTAGTAATAGTAGTAGTAATAGTAGTAGTAGTAGTAGTTATTTTATTGCTATTAATATGACGTTTATTAAGTACTTGCCATATATCTAGAATTGTTTTAAGTGTTTTTCATACATCATCATATTTAATCTCCACATTAACCTTGTGAGGTAATAGTATTACTATCTCATTTTAGATATAAGACTACTGAGTTTTATAGAGGGGTTAAGTAGTAATAATTTGATCAAGGTCACACAGTTCCAGGTGACAGATCCTGGAGCCAGGATATGAATGCAAGTCTATCTGACTTAACACTGCCTCCTTTGAAAGGGTTGGAAATGAAACAATTCCAGAAGCCAGGGTACAACTGCATCGTGATAGAATTGGGGGGAAAAAAAAAAAAACTAATGAGTCCTTATGATACTTGTGTTTCATATTTTGCATTTCTCATGATTCTGAAATTCATTTCACTTCATTCAGAATGAGTTAATTTTGTTGGCTACCATTAGAGCTTCATGGTAAAATAACTACTTTATGTAATTGCAGTGAAATATTCAACTATATGAATAATTTTGGTTGTGCCAATTTTATGTTAGCGCCAAAGAAACATGACGGACCAAGTGCATTGTGTTGCTGGACTTAGAATTCCCTGAGGCCTGGGTTCTTCACTGAGATTTCTTATTCTTCAATTCAGGATGTTATAATAGATCTCAGACTGCCACTGACAAAAGTCTTTAGTGATAGCTACCATTGTTTTTTAAATCAGAGGTTAGTTCATTTACCAAATAACTTATTCTATTTCTAGAGTTAAAGAACATTGTCTTAGCCCTTGATGCGCTTGAAGGTGACATGATACCTGGGAAGAACTTGGAGAGCTTTCTAGGAAATATTGGGATTAAGTCACCTGAAGAGGAGGTAGAGAAAATTCTTCAATCAGATTTTGTTTCTGGTAAGCATTTAAATATTACTATCAGTTTTGTTTGTTTTGGATAGGAGACCCTGTAATGAAAGTGTGCAAGGTCTTTGTTTAGGTAAATGGCGTCCCTTTGTTGAGCAAATATCTATAGGTATTTGCTTGTATTCCTGTAAAGGTCTTGAAAGGGAGCCTTTCTTCTTTCACAATCCTCTTTTGCAGTTAGGAAAATACTTTTTAACAGCAGGTCAAAAATTTGTGGGAAGTGGGCTTGGAAATTCCAGTTCTTTGAATAGAAAACCGCTTTGCCACTTTGCGCCAAGTAAAGTTATTGGACTTTTAACTTTCTTGGTATTTTAGTTCCCTTACAGGTAGAATCAGAACTAGTGCATCTACAGCCTTGTAAGGTTAATTGCAAAGCATAATAGGTGAAAATGAATCTTAATTATTTTGTATGCTGATTCTTATTTTTATACTAGCTTTTTAATATTACTTTGTCCAGGGTTTCTTGTTTATCACCTCTCTCTTTCTTTCTTCCAGATGACAACATGGTGAATGTTAAAGACTGTATGAAGGTTTTGAAGGACAACCAGAAATTTTCCAATTTTATTGGTAAGAGCTTTATGGTAAAACTGCTGAATGGCCACAACACAGGACTCATTTAAAGGTCCCCTAGTCGAACACTATATTTGTTGCTTAAATCTTCTTTGTAGTAGTATCTGTGCCAAATGTTTGTTTCATTAATATTTGAACATTTGCACTTATGGCAAACTTTACTATAATTTTTTTTCATTTAAGAATTTTTACTTGAGGGGCACCTGGGTGGCTCAGTCTGTTAAGCATCAACTCTTGATCTGGCTCAGGTTGTAATCTCAGGGCCCCTGAGATTCCTGCCCCACATGGGATCAAGCACATGTATCTCTCTTTCTCTAAATAAATAAATAAAATCTTTTTAAAAAAAAAATTTTTTTACTTTAGTGGAAAGGATTGGGAAAATCATGAGGTTGTAATGTTTTCCAATAGCTAAATAAAAAAACTTTATTATGTAATAATGGCAATTTTTAAACTGTTATAAAAAAATATAGTGACCAGAAGGATAAGAAATAAAAAGCATAAGGCTCTTGTAATGTCACCCTCTGAAAATATCCCTGTTGAAGTTCGGTAAGTATCCTTTTAGGCTTTTTTACTTGCATCTGTGAGTATTTGTGTGTTCTTAAATTGTTATTTAAAAATTAAATTACTGTGTTCATAATATTCTACAACTTGCTTTTTTAAAGAAATTAATAGCGTATCTTAGATATTATTCCATGTTCCATTATATCATATAAACTACCTCATTCTTTTTAAGGACCACATAATATTCCATTACGGGGATGGACTATAATTTTATCCACAACACTCTTCTTTTTTTAAAGATTATTTATTTATTTATTTATTTGACAGAGAGAGAGAGAGAGAGAGAGAGAGAGAGATAGATCACAAGTAGGCAGAGAGGCAGGCAGAGAGAGAGGAGGAAGCAGGTTCCCTGCTGAGCAGAGAGCTGATGTGGGGACCTGAGATCATGACCTGAGCTAAAGGCAGAGGCTTAACCCACTGAACCACCCAGGCACCCCATACACTCTTGATGATATTTAGGTTATTGCCAATTTTTAGCCATTCAAACATTTTGATGAGCATTCTTGAATGTATATATGTGCACGAAGTTTTCCTGGTGGATAAATTCCTCAGCAGTCACAGTGCTAAACTGAAATCTATGCAGATGTAAGATGTTAATAGCTATTGCTTATTTACCCTTCCAAAGGGTTGTAAAAATTTACTTTTATCAATAATGGGTATTAGTTATTAAAAAATTTTCCAGTAAAAAAATTTATTATTATTTTAATATACACTTCTTTAATGACTAGTGAGATAAAACATATTTTTCATGATTGTCAAGTGTGCTTTGATTATATTTTAATTAGATTGTCTTTTTCATATGAATTTTAATTTGTAAATAGGTCTTTCTATATTAGGGACATTAATGTTCTGTCCTATCTATTGAAGTTTTTTCCTAGTTTATTATTCATCTTTGATTTTGGTGGGTTGCTTTTTGCCATCTTTGGTGTAATTTTGTCAGTGTTGGTATTTTTTTTCTCCTAGGAAATTTATTTCATTTGGGTGTTTTATTGGAATACAGCCCTATGCAGTGATAATTCTTTTGATTTTTCTTTGAATCTGGTTATTTTCTCATTCTTAAGTTTGCGTATATATAACCTTAACTTTTTCTATGTTTACTAACAGAACATTTTAGCTCTCTTTTTAAAGCACTACCTCTTAGATTTATCTTTAGTGTTTCTGTTTATAGTTAAAAAATTAATTTCTGCTTTTGTCTTAAGTCCTTTTTATTCTCTTATGCCCATTTTATAGCTTTTCTAAGTTATTTAAATTATTAATTTATACTTTTTTCTTACTGGACATTAAATGTTTAAGACTATCATTTTCATTTTAGTAAAACTTTGGTTTATCTAACAGTCTTCGTTTATTATTGTTGTTATTGTCTAAGTATTTTCAGTCATACTTTGATTTTCTCCTCGATGTAAGAGTTAAGAGAAAACTTAAAATTTTAAAGCAATTTGAATTTCATTATTGCCCTATCTTTGTTGTTTATTTTTTTAGTTTTATTGTGGTCAGAGACTGTGGTCTATAGTAGAGGCCTTGATAGCTCGTTAGATTTGGAGTTTCTTCAATTATTATATGTTATTTAAAAACTACTTTAATGGCTTCCAGGGACAGGCTAATGGTAACGCACACTCATCCTACTATTTGTCTTGGAAATCCTTATGACCTTTTGAAGCATCCCATTCCATAATTTTGGACAGCTGTGGAACTAGTCAATTATTCCACATATTTGGTAGAAATCCTGCCTTATAATTCCATTCCCAAACCATATTTAACATTTGGATTCTTCCTCATATCAGTAGCCCTCCAGAGATGTGAAGAGAACTCTTATATTTTCTTCATTTCACATCGAATTGTCTTTTCTCTAGACTCACATTTCCCTTCAGCCCTTGCTCATGTGGCCTATTTTTGAAACGTTTTACTAATAACTAATAACTAATGACTAAATCATGGAACAACAGAAAGAGTTAAATACTACTTCTACATAAACTGGCTAGTTTAAAGTAATTTATTATACATTTCTCTTAATGAATCCCAAGAGATGATTTTTTGGATATATACTTTAGAAATGAAGTTTTTTAAAAAAAATATTTATTTATTCATTTATTTATTTGAGAGAGAGAGAGAGAGAGAGAGAGAACAAACCTGTGAGAGAGAGAGAGCCAGTGTGGGGAGGAGCAGAGGGAGAGAGAATCCCAAGCAGACTCCATGCTGAGTTTGGAGCCCAGCAGGAGCTCTGTCCCAAGACCCTGAGATCATGACCTGAGCTGAAATCAAAAGTCAGATGCCCAGTCAACTGAGCCACCCAGGTGCCCCTGAAGTTTTGTTTTGCTTTTTAATTAAGGGAGGTCAGCCATGGATTTCCTAATCTAGATGTTTTATGTTAATGTGCTATCCATAATAGGCTTTGCTGATCCTCTAAATTGTGTGAAATGAGGTGATAAGATTAAAAGATCTAGGGAAGGAAAGTGGAAAGGGAAAGATTGGGGTTTGAGAGCACTTGTGAAGAATGGAGGGTATTTTTTACTGAAATGGTGAGCTCATTATTGATAACTAGAGAAACTCTGGTGTACTTTTCTCTTCATATAGGAATAGCTCACCCAGAACCTAGAGTTTTAACAAAATAATTTTAAGAATAAAGATGAGGGGCTATAGAAAACTATAGTGGAGAATGGATTGCTCTATTTATTTCAATGGCCACATATGAGTAGTGGCTGCCATTTTGGACAGCTCAAATCTCAAAGAGTCCATCAATTTCATTGTTATATTCCAAAGATTTGGAACCATGGACTGAAGTACATTTTGTGTGTATATTTTCTGTGTTTGTAGCATTGAATGATATCATCAATACATTGGATTCTATGGAAGAAAGTGATCAGTTTGATAAGGACAAATATGCAGATGTACCTGGAAATATCAATAGAATTCATTTCACTGATAATAGTCTTCAAAAAATACTAGATGAGTCCATTGTTGAGGGTGAGTTGATTGAGCAACTTGTAATAAAAATTTCTTCTAAAATTATATCTAAGGATTTTTAAATATTTTACCGAAATACTAGTTAAATGGTAATAATTAGTTCCTAATGATATTTAGTTAATATTATAATATTTAGTTCCTAAATAATGTATTGAAATGTGATTTATTGCAGACCAAATTTAGGGATATACCTTATATTCTATATCCACAGATATGTCCATTTAGTTATTACAGTATCAAATTCCTGGATGATCTCTTGGACTAGATTGTAAAGTTGGTCTCAAGTATTTATATATGTTGTTGTATGGCTTTGAAATATTTCTTTCTAGAGTAATTTCATTTCAAAGTTAATCCCTTTCCTTCTGTGAACTTTAGAGAGGTCTTAATCATTTTCTAGCCTTTTTTTTTTTTTTTAGGTGAAAGGCCCTTTGAAAAGTACAAGTTATTGTTGAACAATTAAAACATTTTTCTATATAACACTCATGTGTAAGTGTTGAGCTGCTCTTTGCTCTATCTACAAAGAATTTACCTGACCCATCTATATTCTCAGCTGGGATATATCCAGATGGACTTTAATCCATATTTGGAAAGCCATTTCTTGCCTTTAAATTTAGCTTCAGCTAAAAAGTAAGGTCAGATCTGCCTCTCAGGGAACAATTGGCAGTGTGTGAAGACAGTTTAGATTGTCAAAACTGATGGGTGGAGGACTGCTGGCATGTAGTGAGTAGAAGCAAGGGATGCTGCTAGCCATCCTACAGTGTCTAGGACGGTACTCTCCCAAATAATTATCAGGACCCAGATGCAATTTTGCTGAGGTTGAGAAATCCTGTTTTAGAATTATCTTATAAAATTGCCAAACCTACTATTTTGAAAGTACTTTTTAATAGCTTAGTTTTTTTTTTTTTTTAAATCTTGCTTAGAACAAGTAAAAAATTTAAGGTAAATATAATGTGTTTTTATTCTAACTTCCTTTTGTTTTAAGGTAATTTCTGGACTAGTTGTGAGTTATTCTAAACATCTCTCCAACTGTAATATGGTCCATCTATGCAAATGGACATATTTTATTTTTATCACTTGTCCTTCAAATAGATCTCTGTAGCAATTTGCATTTTTATAGAAAGTATATTGAATGAGGGGTATAACTGCAACTTGTCCTTAGGAGAAGCTCCAGGATTAGATAGATAGGTAAGCAAGCAGAACTAGAGAAGGACAATCCAGACTAATAATTAAACATTTTATCGAATATATGGGCCTGGAGATGAACCTGCCCTCTTTGGAAGAAAGGAAACATTTATGACGTTAGAATCTCAGTCACTTTTAAGGAGCTTGGTGGAGGCTGACAAATCCATGGACTCAAAGAAGTAAGAGGAAGATGAATAGAAAAAATATTTTGGAAGCCAGTGGATGATTTTGAGAGGAAGAGAATGGTCAACGGGAAATGGTACTGAGAGATGAAGTATTTAGCCTACGGTTTTCTTTCAAACTGGATAAAATCAGGATGCTGTTCCTTATGGCATAATCTCTCTCTGTAAATTTACAGATTTTAAGAAAGCGGCTTTGTCTTCCAATCTGAGATTACCAAAAGCAGATGGTAAGAACTTTATATGTGTATAAGAAAACATTCCCTATAAAAGATTACTCTTTAGGAATCATTGCCAGCTGCCAATGGATTCCTAGTCCATTTTTCCCACCCTAGCCAGAGTAATATTTTTTTCAAAAAAGTAATCTGATTATGTTATCTCTCCCTATTTATAACTCTTTAAACATTTTCCCTTGCTGTTAAAGATCAAAATCCATCCTATATGTCCTAGTCCTCTAACAATCTTGTATCATTATCCTTGTTTTCTATACTTTCAAATACATTGCCTTTCTTTCATTTTCTTAGATCTCTCTTTTCCTCCCACCACAAAGCTTTGCATATTTTATTCCCTGGAATATTTTTCCCTGACCCTCTTTGCCTATTGAAGTTTACTCATCTTTCAGATGCATGTCAGATTCCTCTAGGGGAGCCAATCATTATCTGCTAGTCTAGGTCGACTTCCTCTGTTAATATGCTTTCCTTAAACCATGTCTCATTCATAGCATTTGTTTCATATTAAAAGTACTCATTCATATTTTTAAAATGATACTAGAAACGCTCAGTATATTTTACATTACGAAGTAACAAAAATTAAGGGCATCTGCCTGGCTCAGTCAGTAGAGGATATGACTCTTAATCTCAGGGTTAGGAATGTAAGACCCATATTGAGTATAGAGCTTACTTAGAAAAAAATAAAGTAACAAAAATATTAAATAACTTAAATCATCTTAATTCATTAGGATCAAAATAATACAATTTTTAATGAAAAATTCTTTGAGTATAGTGAACATACAATGTTAATTTGCTTCACATGTACAACATAGTAATTCAGCTTCTCTATACATTATGCCATGCTCACCACAAATGTAACTACCATCAGTCACCCTACAATGTGATTACAATATCATTGACTATATTCCCTACACTGTACCATGACATATTCATTACATAACTGGAAGCCTGTCTCTCCCATTCCCCTTCACCCATTTTGCCCATCCTCATACCGACCTTCTTTCTGGACACCCATCAGTGTGTTCTCTGTATTTATAGGTCTGGTTCTGCCTTTTTTTTTTTTTTAAGATTTTATTTATTTATTTGACAGAGAGAGAGAGCACAAGCAAGGGAAACAGCAGAGGAAGAGGGAGCTCAATCCCAACACCCTGGGATCATGACCTGAGCTGAAGGCAGACACTTAACCAACTGAATGCCTCGGGCACCCTCTGATTCTACTTTTTGTTTTTTTATTTGTTTTGTTTTTTAGATTCGACATATGAGTACAATTACATGGTATTTGTTTTTCTCAGTCTGACATATTTCCTTAGCATAATACCCTTTAGGTCCATCCATGTTGGCAAAATGGCAAAAAAAAAAAAAAAAGGTCTCATCCTTTTCCATGGCTGTGTCATATTCCATAAATATACCACATCTTTATTCATTCACCTACTGATGGACACTTGAGATACTTTCATATCTTGGCTTTTGTAAGTAATACTGCAATACACATAGAAGTGCATATATCTTTTTGAATTAGTGTTTTTGTCTTCTTTGGGTAAATACCCAGTGGTGAAATTATTGGGTCATATGGTATTACTATTTTTAATTTTTTGAGGAATCTCCATATTATTTTCCTTAGTGGCTGTACCAATTTACATTCCACCAACAGTATACAAGGGCTCCTTTTCCCCCACATCCCCGCCAACACCTGTTATTTCTTATGTTTTTGATTCTAGCCATTCTGACAGTTGTAAGGTGATAGATATCTCATTGTGATTTTGATTTGCATTCCCCTAGATTAGTGATGTTGAATATCTTTTCTAGTGTCTGTTGGCCATTTGTAATGTTTTCTGCAGAGTCCTCTGCCCATGTTAAAATCTGATTGTTTTCCAGTCATTGTTTTAATTATTTGATTAATAATTCTTTCTCTTACATGCCTGGAAGAGTCATTGGACCAAAGACCACGTCTCTACTTTGCTCCATATCCTAGTATTGTTTCTCTAGATCCTGGCACAATCCTGGCTTTCAGCAGGCTTTTAGAAGTAGCTACTATTAATAATTAATATTATATGGGGTGCCTGGGTGGCTCGGTGGATTAAAGCCTCTGCCTTCGGCTCAGGTCATGATCCCTGGGTCCTGGGACTGAGCCCCACATTGGGCTCTCTGCTCAGCAGGGAGCCTGCTTCCCCCTCTCTCTCTCTGCCTGCCTCTCTGCCTACTTGTGATTTCTCTCTGTCTGTCAAATAAATAAAGTCTTAAAAAATAATTAATATTATACAATATTTACTATGCTAGGTATTTTTCTAAATCTTTTATGTTATCAACTCATATAAATATTTATGGAATGAATCAATGACAATAAAACTTTATTATCTCGTTAGTCTCATCTCTCATCACTTCTGCATTTGTATTTATTCTGTAGCCATAGTAGTTATTACAATTTAAACTGGCTCTATTTGCTTTTGGTTCCATATCTTTGTATGTGCTGTTTCCTTTCTATACATTTCCTGTCAGACAAACTCACATTTTTTTCCCCTAAACTCATCTCAAATGTCACATAAGACTTTTCAAAGTTGTAGGTTAGGTGAACTGTCTCAGTGCTTTCATAATATCCTGTGCATATTTTTCTCATCATACCAACTGTATGATGTATTATCATTTTATTTATAGACATGACAGATTCAGTCTTTGTTTTCTGGGAATTCACAGGAAACTTTTTTATGGGAAAACTCTTTGATGAAAGGGCTGAAATTTTCATTATTGGGCTTGGTAGCTGCAAAAAAATTATTAGTAGAATGAATAAAAGTCTTAAATGGTATTATGTTTTCTTTCCAGGTGAAGGTTTAGATCTGTTGGTATAACACAATAATTTTCAGCTGTGGAAACATGCACAATGACTTCATTTTGGAATTAAGAGAGTGGGAAATGGTATTGATGAAAAATTGAAACACTCAATAATGATATGTTTTATATTTTAAATTGGTGTGGTATCAACAGGACTACTCCATTTGGTTGTATGGGTTTTGCCTTGCACAAAGATGCCTGGATGTAGGGTACAAGCAGAGACTGAAATGCACTCCATATTTCACTGTGCTCTTCAGACTTGGACCACCAGGGCTAGATTTCAACTGCCCAGAGGAAGGTGTGCCTCTTTGTAATAGATACATACAAAGGGGACCATTTCTCAATCACACAAAAGCATAATATAGACTGGTGGTGGCCCTGGGGATCAAGAGCTTTAATCTCAAATTTCATCCTTTTTTTGTTTACTTTATCAGTTGATAGAAATCTTTATATCTACATGTGAAGGATTTAACTATTATTTAAGAAAAGCTTACAGCTTATTCAGTATTTAGTGGGTTAATGGATTCAGATAACTCATATTCTCTTTGGCATGTAATTTTTTGGTTTTAAATGCTGCTTGAAATAAGTGGGTTGTTGGAAAAGATTTTGCTTTTTTTTTTTTTTTTTAGTTAAATATATATGCTTAATTCGAGAATTCACCTATAATGGACTTTGGACAAACTATTTTGCACTTTTTAAAACATAGTATCTTACATATATTTATTTATCTTTGTAGAGATTGAAGAAGCTACTCATATCTTGTCAAGTGTTGATAATGGCAGGATTGATATACCTAGCTTGGAGCATGCCCTGGAAAGTTTGAATGTCAGTTTGACTGAGAAGGACATCAGTGAAGCCCTCCAGTGTTGCGACATCAATGGTGAGGATTATTTTGGCGTGAGGTCCTTTTCATTTTTCCCTGTTAATGAGAAACAGTCTTAGAGCATATGTATGTGGGTAAAATGCTAAGGACAGTCGCACTGGAGACTTAGGTTGATACAAATTAGAGCCAAAATAGTCTGCTAATTTAAATATTTATTGACCATATCTTTCTATTCACACTTAATCTAGGTATATATGCTTATTTAGTAATTACTATTCATTTCTTATAAGCATGGGTGGGAAAATTCCATTGTGATAAAACAAAGACATGATACCAGCAGCTTCATTTTGATATGCAGTCTTTCTTCAGAGGAGATCACCTTCATCTGTCCTTATATATAGTACTTGCCTCATTCTGTTTTTTAACCAAAAGAAATACCCCAAATTTCACTATATTTTAGAAGAACAGTTATTGAGTTTTGGTCATTGTTTCTAAGTGAGCATATATTTATCTGTGGTTTCCATTTTTAACTTCTTGTAGTATATACTTGGTCTCCTTTCCTATATATATTCACTCTTAAGCATCAAATTATGTGGAAACACTTTAATTTGGAGCTGGTAAGTTACACTGGTTTTAGGTGGCTTTTTATTTGGGGTTTATCTTAACCACCAGCTTGTTTTTTCTATGGGAATCTGATGAATGTGGGTTTAAGAGTACCTCCTGAGCACGGTTTGGTTATTGCCTTTGCCAGGTACTCTAGATTTTTATTGACCTCAATCAATTTATATGTTTTGACCTGGGGTTTCTCATACTATGAGAGCAGTATCAATTTAGACTCCAAACCCACATGAGATGCAGGAGATCCTTCACAGGAGATTTTTTTCCCCGCTGCCTCTCAGAATTAGGAAGATTTACGTCTCCTTGTTGTTTACTTGGGCCAGTGAATACAGTGTTTTAATCTCCCTTTCACTGGATTGAGCTTCTTTAAGCATCCAAGGTTTTTTTTTAATTTTAAAAATTTTTTATAAACATATAATGTATTATTAGCCCCAGGGGTACAGGTCTGTGAATTGCCAGGTCTACACACTTCACAGCACTCACCATAACACATACCCTCCCTGATGTCCATAACCCCACCACCCTCTCCCCTCCCCCCCCCCCCCCAGCCCCCCTCAGTTTGTTTTGTGAGATTAAGAGTCTCTTATGGTTTGTCTCCCTCCCAATCCCATCTTGTTTCATTTATTCTTTTCCTACTCCCCAAACCCCCCACATTGCATCTCCATTTCCTCATATCAGGGAGATCCTATGATAGTTGTCTTTCTCCATCTAGTTCCATCCATGTCATCGCAAATGGCAAGATTTCATTTCTTTTGATGGCTGCATAGTTTTCCATTGTATATATATATATACCACATCTTCTTTATCCATTCATCTGTTGATGGACATCTAGGTTCTTTCCATAGTTTGGCTATTGTGGACATTGCTGCTATAAACATTCGGGTGCACATGCCCCTTCGGATCACTACGTTTGTATCTTTAGGGTAAATACCCAGTAGTGCAATTGCTGGGTCATAGGGTAGCTCTATTTTCAACTTTTTGAGGAACCTCCATGCTGTTTTCCATTTCCATTTTCCACTTTTCCAGAGTGGTTGCACCAGCTTGCATTCCCACCAACAGTGTAGGAGGGTCCCCCTTTCTCCGCATCTTTGCCAGCATCTGTCATTTCCTGACTTGTTAATTTTAGCCATTCTGACTGGTGTGAGGTGGGATCTCATTGTGGTTTTGATTTGTATTTCCCTGATGCCGAGTGATGTGGAGAACTTTTTCATGTGTCTGTTGGCCATCTGGATGTCTTCTTTGCAGAAATGCCTGTTCATGTCCTCTTCCCATTTCTTGATTGGATTATTTGTTCTTTGGGCATTGAGTTTGCTAAGTTCTTTATAGATTTTGGACACTAGCCCCTTATCTGATATGTCATTTGCAAATATCTTCTCCCATTCTGTCAGTTGTCTTTTGGTTTTGTTAACGGTTTTCTTTGCTGTGCAAAAGCTTTTGATCTTGATGAAGTCCCAATAGTTCATTTTTGCCCTTACTTCCCTTAACTTTGGCGATGTTCCTAGGAAGAAGTTGCTGCAGCTGAGGTCGAAGAGGTTGCTGCCTGTGTTCTCCTCAAGGATTTTGATGGATTCCTTTCTCACATTGAGGTCCTTCATCCATTTTGAGTCTATTTTCATGTGTGGTGTAAGGAAATGGTCCAATTTCATTTTTCTGTATGTGGCTGTCCAATTTTCCCAACACCACTTATTGAAGAGGCTGTCTTTTTTCCATCGGACATTCTTTCCTGCTTTGTCGAAGATTAGTTGACCATAGAGTTGAGGGTCTATTTCTGGGCTCTCTATTCTGTTCCATTGATCTATGTGTCTGTTTTTGTGCCAGTACCATGCTGTCTTGATGATGACAGTTTTGTAATAGAGCTTGAAGTCCGGAATTGTGATGCCACCAACTTTGGCTTTCTTTTTCAATATTCCTTTGGCTATTCGAGGTCTTTTCTGGTTCCATATAAATTTTAGGATTATTTGTTCCATTTCTTTGAAAAAAATGGATGGGATTTTGATAGGGTTTTAAGCATTCAAGTTTTATTTGGTATCTAAATTCAAACTCTCCAAGTAGCATGGATCCAAATTTTCTTTTATGAATATGCATGAATATTTAAATCAAGCACCTTGCCACTTTGGGATCTGATACGTATCCCCTAATAGTTATAGGCTCAGTACTCACTGTTTTCTACTCTTGATCTCTGTGTCCACTTAACTTATTATTTCCTGTTCATATATCTTAGTAATGCATTTATAGAATATTGTAGTTCATACAGCATCCTAGGGATTTGTAGTCTGATGGTTTCTGTGCTACCCAGCTAGCCATTTTGTTATAAGTTAAAGTCTCCTTAATGTAGTTGATAACTCTATATTTTCTGTTATGATAGCATTATTGCGTCTTTCTTCGTGTGTGTGTGTGTGTGTGTGTGTGTGTGTATGTGCACGCACACACGCGCATGTGTGTGTATCCTAATAGTTAACTTTGTGACCTCTGGCCTGAGACTACCTTAGTTCAAATACCACATCCTCTAGCACTTTCTGGCTTTTGTGACCTAGACAACTTATTTAATTTCTCTTGGCTTTCATCTTTTAAAGATAGGCATATCAAGTATAACCATGTTATAGAATTATTGTGAAGATTTTGGTTAATAAATGTAAAGCATCATAAAAGGATCCTTAGTCTGTATAAGGAACTGAACATTATCTAAGTTCTTTTTTCTCTTTTTTTTAATTATGTTCAATTAGCCAACATATAGAACTCAAGAAAATTAGCTATTAAGATCATTAACTGTTCAATAGATGGTTCCTAAAAGTATGAAAAGTTATTTTGCAATAGTTTCAGTCATTTGAGATAGAAAATAAGGTAGAACGGAATTTTAAGTATTGTAAATCGGAACCTTTATGTAGAAATTCGCAGTATCAGGTTTTTAATGTCAGCATGCTTGATTTTGACTTTACAGATAATAATGAAGTGAATTTAAAAGATTTCTTTGAAAGAATTAAAGAAAGTCTATTTTTCAAAGAGTCCATAGGTAAGTGAATACTACTAGTTCAAAGACAAATGACTGTAAAATAAAGATATGAAATGATATTAAAAAATCAATATCCAGATTTCATGTTTTTACTCTGTAATCTCTATAGTTTTAAAAAGGATTTAAGGCACTTATAAAATATAAATAATATAAGATTGTAAAAGACAAGTGAGGAAAATGGGAAAAAGTTATAATGGAGGGAAAAGAAATAAAACAGGGTTGAAGAAGATACATAGGAAACACCTTTGCTGTTCTTACAAAGTCCTTCCTCAAGAGGAGATAAGTTTTTCTTCATTCAAGGGGTACTGGATCTATGAAGGAAATCCGGTCTGGAAATCAGGTGAGGCATCACTACTCTCTGTTGTGTCATCTCAGGTTAGGCCTCTGCAGTTTTCAGGTCTCCTCAGCTGGATTGCCCATCTATTTTATTTACGGAAATCTTCAACTAATCAGTTTCTCTAAATCTTCATGGTATTGATCCACATATCATTCTTATTGCCATATCATTTCTGTTGCCTAACTACATCACGTTGCCCCTCCTGTGTAAAGACTATCGCTTGGTCTTTGTCCCTGAAGTTCCTTTCATCCTTCTTGAAATTAGGGAGGTATTGAAATTTCAATACTGGCATCATTTCCTAACCCCACATCTACAGGGGACACCTACCGGAGAAATCTCCACAGATGCAGACACCCCTGTCAATAATGTATTCCTAAATGCTTCGGTGAAACAAATGTCCTTTCTTTTATTTTTTTTTTTTTAAAGATTTTATTTATTTATTTGACAGACAGAGATCACAAGTAGGCAGAGAGGCAGGCAGAGAGAGACGAGAGATGGGGAAGCAGACTCCCCACTAAGCAGAGAGCCTGAATGTGGGGCTCGATCCCAGGACCCTGGGATCATGACCTGAGCCAAAGGCAGAGGCTTTAACCCACTGAGCTACCCAGGCGCCCCCAAATTTCCTTTCTTTTTCACATTTTAATATCTCTAAAATTAGAACACCTTTATAATTGATGGCATTATTTATTGCATGTACATTTTTATTGAGATATAATTCACCTACCATCAAATCCATCCTTTTAAAGTGTACAGTTTAGTGGGTTTTGGTGTATTCACAAAGTTGTGCAACCATCATGCTCTAATTCTGGGACATTTTCATTGCCTCAAAAAGAAACCCTGTACTCTTTAATAGTTATTAACATCTTTACATGTGTTTATTGGCCATTTGTATATCTTCTTTGAAGATGTGTATCCTTTGCTTATTTTAAAATTGGGTTATTTGTCAAGTTATAAGAGTTCATATATTCTGGACTATACACCTTTATCAGATACATGATTTGCAAATCTTTTCTCCCATTTCATGGGTCTTTTTCCTTTCTTGTTGGTATCCTTTGAAGCACAGAGATTTTTAAATTGGATGGAATCCAATTTATATTTTCTTTTGTCACTTCTTTTGATGTCACATCTAAAGATAATCCAAGATCATAAAGATTTATACTGATGTTTTCTTTTAAGAGTTTTCTAGTTTTAGCCTTTTAATTTGAATCTTTGATTTGAGTTAATGTTTGCACATGGAGTGAGATGGGAGTCCACGTTAATTCTTTTGCATGCAGGTATCCAGTTATCCCGGCATCATTTGTTGACAAAGTTATTCTTTCCCCATTAAAGGGTTTTGGCATTCTTCCCAAAAATCAATTGATCATAAGTGTAAGGATTTATTTTTCAACTCTCAATTCCATTCCGTTGATTTTCATTTATTCTTATGCCAGAACCACATGGTCTTGATTACTATAGCTTTGTGGTAAAGTGATAACCTAGGCAGGAATCTTTAACCAGAGCCGGGCATCAGAATTACATGTAAGTTTGATCCACCTGGTTCTAGTTTTGGGCTATGATGGAGTAGCTTATATCAAACCAACCTTCCTACTGAGAGTTACTAGTAAAATCTGGACTAAATTAAACTGCATCAATGACCACAACCATTTGAAGGCATTGGAAACCAGCCAAAGCTGTCAGGATTTGTGGGGCTGTAAGATAAATACAGAGAGCTGGACTTGTAGCAGCAATAGCAGCTGTTGCTGCTGCTTGTCTGTTTTGTCTTTGTAACATAACTTAAGTGAAATAATGCAAATTTTGATGTAAACTTATTTGTAATTTGTAATGCTTCCTAGTTATTTCAGGGGCCACATATGAAGTATTACATAGCCAAAGGCATAAAGGTTGACCACTTAACATGTCAACTTGAAAGGTACATTAGTTAAGGGCATGGGTTTTGGAACTGCAGTGCCTGGACTTAAATCCTGGTCCTGCCACTTACTACCAATATATTCCTTAGCAAATCACTTAATCTCACTAACCTCGATTTCTTCATCTTAAAAATAGGGATAGTAATGCCTATCTTGGAATTATTATAAGGTTTAAATAGGTAAAGTAGAAGTACTTAGAACAGTCTCTAGCACTTAGTAAGTTTTCAGTAACTGCTAACTATTACAATATACAATGGTTTTTAAAACTATATTAGTAGTTTCATGTAAAATTCTTTTATTCTGGGGCATCTGGGAGGCTCAGTCAGTTGGGCATCTGCCTTCAGCTCGGGTCATGATCCTATTGTCCTGGGATTGAGCCTGTGTAGTGCTCCCTGCTCAGCGGGGAGCTTTCTTCTCACTCTCCCTCACCCCCCACCCCAGACTCATGCTCTCTGGTGTACACACACACACACTGTCCCTCTCTTCCAAATAAATAAAATCTTTAACAAATAATAAAATAAAATTCTTTTATGCAATCCAAGCTTAAGTGAAGGTAGATAATATACTCTTATTTCTGCTGTTGAAATATTTGTTTTCTTCTTTTTTTGCAGCTACACAGCTACTCTTAGCTACTACCCAAATTCTCCAGAATGATCTAATTGATGCCTCTGACCTTGAAGAATTTTTGATAAACAATGACTTTCATGCAGCTAATGTTTTACTTAATGAAGTATTAAGACATGAACCTGAACATGGTTGGTAGTTTGAATGCATCTGTGTTATAAAGGCCATCATCTACTAGTGGGTGTGGGAGATGTATGGATGGGATACACAACAATGGAAGGCATGCTGTGGGAGCTGCAGTGGGATGACTGAGGAACACCAGTGCTACCCTGGTGTGACAAGCCTGAGCCCTGTGAAACCAAATGGAGGGGTAAATCAGGGCCTACTTTATCTCTGTAGGTGGTAGTACTTGGGAGATGAGGCTACTTTGGCTGGCATGGGCAGTACTCAATTAGAATGCCATGCACAGAGTACAACAGAGTCCTTGAGGCCCTTTGCCAGGTATCAACCCGTTGGAAAGTGAACTGCTGATATCCAGGAATACCTCTGGTGGTATTGCACATGGTTTTGGGGCTCAGGGAAGCATATATTTATTTATTTATTTATTTATTTATTTTTTTTTTTAAAGATTTTATTTATTTATCTGACAGAGATCACAAGTAGACAGAGAGGCAGGCAGAGAGAGAGGGGGAAGCAGGCTCCTTGCTGAGCAGAGAGCCCGATGCGGGACTCGATCCCAGGACCCTGAGATCATGACCTGAGCCGAAGGCAGCAGCTTAACCCACTGAGCCAGCCAGGCGCCCAGCATATATTTATAAACATACAAAATAATTTCATTATTTTAATGATTGGTATTGTTGAATGTTATCTTTGCTACATTTTCAAAAGAGAGGAGCAGTAGTCTTTATTTTTCTCTTATCTATAAGAGATTCCTCAGATGTTAAGTAGAACTCAAAGGCGAACCCTAATGAGCCGAGAGTTTTATTTACAGGAAAGTTATGGATTATTGATTTAATTTCTTAAATTACATGGGATTACAAAGAAAATACCATATTTTCTTGTTAATATTGGCAGTCTGTATTTTTATAGGAATTCATCCATTTCATGTAACTTTTCAAATTTTTTGGATAAAGTTGCCCTTGACCTCTACCTTTTATCTTTTTTGATGTCTGCCTGATCAGTAATAATATCTTCATTTTCATTCTCAATATAAGTGATTTGGAGCTTTTGTTTTTCCACCCAGTCTCCACAGAATTTTTCTTTACCTTTTTGTAAAATTGAGATATAATGGACATAGAACATTGTGTAAGTTTAGGATATACAGTGTGTTGATTTGATACATATATATTGCAAATGGTTATCACTATGGTGTTCACTAACATCTCTATCACATCACATGACTGTAATTTCTTTCTTTGTGGTGAGAACATTTAAGGTTTAGTCTCTTAGCAACTTTCGAGTATGTAATACAGTTTTAGGTCAGCACAGCATTAAATTTCCAGAACTTACTCATCTTCTAACTGCAAATTTGCACCTTTTAACAATATCTCCCCAACTCACTGCACCCCCCAAGTTGCTACTAACTACCATTCTACTCTGTTTCTTTTGTTTTTTTCAGATTCCACATATTAGTGATATATACAGTATTTGTCTTTGTCTGACTTATCTCTTCTAAGCATAATGCCTTGAAGATCCATCCATTTTATTGCAAATGGCAGAATTTCCTTCTTTCTTGTGCTGAAATAATGTTACACTGTATATACACACCACATCTCTTTATTCATCTGTTGATGGACACTTAGGTTATTTCCATATCTTAGCTTTTGTGAACAATGCTGCAAAATACGTGGAAGTGTAGATATCTCTTAAAGATCCTGTTTTCATTTCCTTTGAATATATACCCATAGGGAGGATTGATGGATCATATGTTAGATCTATTTTTAATTTTGGGGCAGTCCTCCATACTGTTGTCCATTGTGGCTGTATCAATTTCCATCGCCACAAACAGTGAATAAGGGTTCCCTTTCTCCACATCCGTGCAAACCTTGATCTCTTCTTGATGATAGCTATTCTAACAAGTGTGAGTGATATCTCATTGTGGTTTTGATTTCCATTTCCCTGATGATTAGTGATGTTGAACAACTTTTCATGTACCTGTTGGCCATTTGGATGTCTTCTTTGGAAAAAATTTCTATTCAGTTACTCTGCCCATTTTTTTTTTCATCATTTTGTTTGCTTGTTTGTTTGTTATTGAGCTGTATGAATTATATATTTTGGATATTAACCCTTGACCAGACACATGGTTTGCAAATATTTTCTCTCATTCTGTAGGTTGCCTTTTCGTTTTGCTGATTTTTTTTTCCTGTACACAAGCCTTTAAGTTGGATGTAGTCCTACTTGTTGGTTTTTGCTTTTGTTGTTTGTATTTGGTGTCGTGTGAAAAAATTATTGCCAAGACCAGTGTCTGAAAGCTGCTTCCTTATGTTTTCTTCCAGGAATTTTATAATATCAGATCTTACATTTAAGTCTTTAATCCATTTTGAGGTAACATTTTTGTGAGTGTGGTATAAGACAGAGGAGTGATTTCATTTTTCTGGATGTAGTTATCCAGTTTCTCAATACCGGTTATTGAAGAAACTATCCTTTTTCCATTGAATGTTCTTGGCTCCATTGTTCAATATTAGTTGAGTATATGTGGGGGTTTATTTCTGGACTCTGGACATTTTTGTTCTTTTTCCTCACCCTACAGCCTATGAACATTTAATGTCACAGATAAATATTTACTGATGTACTGTGGCCACAAACCATTGTAATAGCTAAGATTTTTTTTTTTTCTCCTCTAAGAACTGGTTTTCCTTCTCGAAAACCTATTGCTCTACATGAGGATGTATTTCTTAAACATATCTAGAACTTTAATTTCTGGATATACTGCTATGTCCTACTTTCCAGTATTTTACTTGAACTTTAACACATTTGTAAGGAATATTGGTCTATAGCCTCTTACCCTACTCACGATGTGGTGGTTTTTGTTTTGTTTTATTTTGTTTTGTTTTGGGTTTTTGTTTTTGTTTTCTTATAGTTTGGGGGCAAGTAGGAGCTACTGAAGGATTTTCTTCAGAGGAGTAACCAGATTTTTTTAAAGAGAAGGACCTCTTTTGCTGCATTGCAGAAAATAAATGTAGAGAAATGAGACTAATGGCATAGAGTTTTTTTTAATTAACATATAATGTATTATTTGCTTCAGGGGTACGGGTCTGTGAATCATCAGGCTTACACATTTCACAGCACTCAACATAGCCCATACCCTTCCTAATATCCATAACCCAGCCACCCTATCCCTACCCCCTCACCCCTCTAGTAACCTTCAGTTTGTTTTGTGAGATTAAGAGTCTCTTATGGTTTGTTTCCCTCCCAATCCCATCTTGTTTCATTTTTCCCCTCCCTACCTCCCATGGCCCCCCACTCTGCCTCTCAAATTCCTCATATCAGAGAGATCATATGATAATTGTCTTTCTCTGATTGACTTATTTTGCTTAGCATAATACTCTCTAGTTCCATCCACGTTGTTGCAAATGGCAAGATTTCGTTTCTCCTGATGTCTGCATAGTATTCCATTGTGTATATATATATATACCACATCTTCTTTATCCATTCATCTGTTGATGGACATCTAGGTTCTTTCCATAGTTTGGTTATTGTGGCTAGTTTTAACGATGCTGTTGTAATAGTTCAGACATTAACTAGCATAGTGATAGATTCAAGTATCTGGAAATAATTAAATAGAAGTTGGTAATCATATTATTTGCAGAAGTTAAGGAGGAAGGAATAGGATAGGCTGATTCCCAGGCTTTTCACTTTGATTATAATTTGACTCTTAGTTTCTGGTATATTAATTCAGAAGCAATAGCTCTTTCAGCCAAATTTTACTTTGCATTACAGAAAATGGCAAGATTACCATTCAAGAATTTTTAACTAAGTTCTGCAATACATTAAGAGTTCCTAAAGACACAGGTGAGTTTTACTTCATAGGTATCTACTGCCTATATCTGGAAGGGCAAGCAGTGGTTTTCATGTTAAAACAACACAGGATTAGAGAGAGCATAGATAAGTAAGAAACAATATGAAGATAAAACAATACAATATTGGGTTATATAATTTTTGTCCAAATTATTTGGCAAAGACTGCTAAGCTTTCCCTAAACTCAGAACTGTAGGTATACCCTAATCATGCTAGAAAATTACTGGATTATATAATATTCTCTGAGATTATTTGCTAGGTATACCTGACCTAAATTTATTAGAAAATTATAAATGATTGGAAAATAATTTTTAAAACTTTGATAAACCTAGCAAAGGGGATTTTATGCTTATCTTTTTTGTTTTTAATGTATCCTCAGCCACTTTCTTGACTACACTATTTTAGGACAAGTTTATGTTTATTACAATGTGACTTATATATAGTAAAACCACCTATTTTAGGTGTACAGTTCTTTGAATTCTTGATAATAATGTCGTGTAACCATTACTAAATAGCACATAGAATATATCACCCCAGACATTCCTTTGTGTCCTTGCATAGTCCATCCCCTCTCTGAACCTTCATCCCTGGTAACCACAGATGTATTCTTTGACACTAAAGTTTTGTCTTTTCTAGAATGTCACATAAATGAAATCAGAACATATGAAGCTCGTTTGAGTCTGGCTCCTTTCACGTAGCATATTATACTTTATATTCATCGACATTTTGCATGTGGTTTGTTTCATTTTATTGGTGAATATTATTCCATTGTATGAATGTACAGTTTATCCATTTAGCAATTGATAGACTATTAAATTATTTCTGGGTTTTGATGTTTATGAATGAAGCTTCTATAAACATTTATATACAGGTTTTTGTGTGTACATATATTTTCATTTCTCTTAGCTGAATACCAAGAAGTAGGATTGCTGGGATATATGGTAAGTGTGTATTTAAATTGATAGAAACTGCCAAATATGAATTTATGATAGATAACATTCATTTATGATAAGAACTCTCAACATAGTGGATATAGAGAGAACATACATCAACATAACGAAGGCCACAACTAACATTATACTCAATGGTGAAAAACTGAAAGCTTTTCTTCTAAGATCAGGAACAAAATAAGGTTGCCCATTCTTGTCACTTTTTTGTTTTGTTTTGTTTAGTGAAGTGCATTTGACATGCAAAGTTGTATTAGTTTCAAGCGTACATCATAGTGATTCAACAGTTCTGTGTATTACTCAGTTCTCCCCATGATAAGTGTAGTTACCATCTGTCACCACAAAATGGTATTACGGTATTAATGACTATATTCCCCATGCTTTAATTTTTCTCACCACTTTTATTCACAGTATTAGAAGTCCACTGAGGACAATTACATAAGAAAAAGAAATATAAGGCATCCAAATTGTAAAAAAAAGAAGTAAAACTGTTCCTATTTGCAGATAACATATTATATACAGAAAACCCTAAAGGCCCTATCAAAAAAACTGTTAGAACTAATAAATTTTGTAAAGTTGTAGAATATGAAATCAATATAGAAAAACCAGTTGCATTTCTATTCACTAATAAACTATCGGAAAAAATATTAAGAAAACTATCCCATTATAATTATATCAAAAAGAATAAAATATTTAACAAAGGAGGTGAAAGACCTGTACACTGAAAACTATAAGATGCTGACAAAAGAAATTGAAGATGACACAAACAAATGGAAAGATATTTCATGCTCAGGGATTGGAAAGTCAAATATTGTTAAAATGTCCATACTACCCAAAGGAACCTACACACTTAGTGTAATCCCTATCAAAATTCCAACGGCATTTTTCACAGACCTAGAACACATAATCCTAAAACTTGTGTGGAACCACAGAAGACCTTGAAGCTCCAAAACAATCTTGAGAAAGAACAAAGCTAGAGCCATCCTACTTTCTCATTTCAAACTTTATTACAAAGCTATCGTAATAAAAACTGTATGTTATTGGCATAAAAACAGACATGGAAATCAATGGAATGGAACAGAGAGTGCAGATATAACCCCTTGCATATTTGTTCAATTTGTTCATGACAAAGCAGCCAAGAATAAACAAGGGGAAAAGACAGACTCTTTGGTAACTGGTGCTGGGAATACTGGGCAGCTGTATGCAAAAGAATGAAACTGGACTGCTATCTTAGACTGTGCACAAAAATTAGATCAAAATGGACTAAAGACTTGCACATAAGACCTGAAGCCACAAAACTCCTAGAAGAAAACATAGGCAGTAAGCTTTTTGACATCGGTCTTTGAAAACATTTTAAAAACCCCAAATTTTGTCTATTAATGCAATACCATAGGTAAAGTCAAAGAACAGATGACAAAATGGGAGAAACTATTTGCAACGTATATCACAGAAGGAATATAGAAAAATGGCCAAAAGTCATGGATATAGAAATAATTAAAAATTTCTAAAATGGCCCAAGAACATATTGAGATGTTTGATTTTACTCATAATAAGAAATATGCAAACTAGGGGCACCTGGGTGGCTCAGTGGGTTAAAGCCTCTGCCTTCAGCTCAGGTCATGATCTTAGGGTCCTGGGATTGAGCCCCGCATTGGCCTCTCTGCTTGGCAGGGAGCCTGCTTCCCCCTCTCTCTCTGCCTGCCTCTTTGCCTACTTGTGATCTCTCTCTGTCAAATAAATAAATAAAATCTTAAAAAAAGAAATATGCAAACTAAAATGGAGATTCAATTTCTCACCCATTAGACTGAGAGAAATTGAAAACCTTGACAACATATTCTGTTTGTTAGTTTGTAGAGAAAAAGGCATTTATCTGTAGCTCATGAGCATGTAAAATACTACCATTCTTTTGGAGGGAATTTGGCAATGTCTAACAAAACTGCATATGCGTTTACCTTTTGGCTCAGCAATCCCACTTCTAGGAATTTTCCCTGAAGATATCCTGCACCAATGTGAAAATACAGATGCATAAAGTTATTTATTACAGACTTATTTGAAATTGCAAAATAATGGAAAATACTTAAAGTGTAAACCTTGGAGATTAGTTAAATAAACTATAGCTTCTATACTGTACAACTATAAAAAAGAATAAAAAAAAGAATTTCATAATAGTACTTTTTAATACCACTGCTTTTCTGCCTTTCCATTATTTAAAGCTACAGATTTCCCTCTGAGCAATTTCACTGCATCTTACAAAATTTTATATTATGTTTTGATAATCACTTATTTAAAATATTTTCTAATTTACCTTGTGATAGCTTTTTGAAATGTGAGTTGTTTAGAAATGTACTAATTTCCAAATATTTGGATATTTGGATATTTTCTAGGTATCTTCTTGTTACTGATTTCTAATTTAATATACCTTGGTCAGAGAATTTATTTTGCACAATTTAAGTGCTTTTAAATTAATTAAGATTTGTTTTATTAAAGACTAGCATGTGGTCTATCTAGGTGAATATTCCATGTACACTTGAAAGAATGTATATTCTATAGTTGTCTGGTAGTGTTCTGTAAATATCCATTAGGTTAGATTGTTTGCTAGTTTGGTTGAATATTCTAATTCTTACTGATGTTTATTCTACATGTTTTATTAATTACTAAGTGCAAGGTGCCCATATCTGCAGCTTATTGTGGGTTCATCTATTCCTCCCTTTAATTCTGTAAGTTTTAGCTTACTAGAAGGCTCTTGTTAGATGTACACATTTGGTGTTGCAAAATTTATGTATATGACCATAGGAGTTATGTCATGTACTTTGTCTATTGCTGTCTTTTGTCTTATTTTTATTGCTCCTCTATTCCTTTCCTCCAATTTCCTTACTTACATTTATACATTTATGTGTACTTATTGTCATGTATCTTATTTTATTTAATATAAAGCTTTTAAATGATATTGCTAAATTATTTTACAGAGAGTTTATTAAATCATTCATAGGCAATATAAGAAAATAATTATTCTTGGTGCACTTAAAAATTTCACAATATAATTATCCATCTCTTTGTTTAGTTCCTTCAGTTTTTTCATTACATGTTTTTCAGACTCTATCATTAAGTACATACAAATTTAGAATTGTTATGTCCATCTAGTGGATTGAAATATCATTATGAAATGTCTCTCTTTATCTCTAAAAATTCCTCTTCACATAAGGTCTACTTTGTCATATTTGTATAGCTATACTGCTCTCTCTTGTTTAGTGTTTGTCTATTATATCTCCTTTTTCTGAGGGGTTTCTTTTTTTCTAATTTAAATTCAATTAATTAATATATGATATATTATTAGCTTCAGAGGTAGAGGTCAGTGATTCATCAGTCTTATAGAATACCCAGAGTTCTGTGAGAAAATGCTCAATATCACTAGCCATCAGGGAAATACAAATCAAAACCACAATGAGATACCACCTTACACTACTTAGAATGACAAAAATTAACAAAACAGGAAATAGCAAATGTTGGCAAGGATGTGGAGAAAGGGGAACCCTCTTACACTGTTGGTGGGAATGCAAGTTGGTACAGCCACTAAGGAAAATGTATGGAGGTTCCTCAAGATGTTAAGAATAGAGCTACCCTACCACCCACCAATTGCACTAGTATGTATTTACCCCAAAAGGTACAGGTGTAGTGAAAAGAAGGGGCATGTGCACCCCAATGTTCATAGCAGCAATGTCCACAACAGCCAAACTGTGGAAGTAGCTGAGATGCCCTTCAACAGATGAATGGATAAAGAAGATGTGGTGCATATACACAATGGAATATTACTCAGCCATCAGAAACGATGAACACCCACCATTTGCATTGATACGATGGAACTGGAGGGGATTATGTTAAGTGGAATAAATATAGCAGAGAAAGATAATTATCATATGGTTTCACTCTTATGTGGAACATAAACAATAGCACAGAGGACCACAGGGGATGGGAGGGAAATCCAAAGGGGGAAGAATCAGAGAGGGAGATGAACCATGAGAGACTTTGGACCCCGAGAAACAATCTGGGGGTTTCAGAGGGGAGGAGGAGGGTAGGGAGAGGGGGTAATAGGGTGATGGGTTTTGAGGAGGGCATGTGCTGTGATGAGCAGTGGGTGTTATACTAACTAATGGATCATAGAACACTACATCAAAACCTAATTATGTGCTATACAGTGGCTAACTGAACATTAAAAAAAAAAAAAAGAATACCCATTGCTCATTACATCACGTGCCCTCCTTAATGTCCATCTCCCAGTCACCCCATCCCCCTACCCACCTCTCCTCCAACAAATCTCAGTTTGTTTCCTATGTTTAAGAGTCTCTTATGGTTTGTCTCCATCTCTGATTTTATCTTGTTTTATTTTTCCCTCCCTTCCCCTATGCTCTTTGGTTTTATTTCTTAAATTCTATATATGACTATTGTCACCTATTTTAAATTATTTTAGGAACAGATTGGTACATAGATAAATACAAATACTGCCTTTTAAGTATAATTTTATATATTAGAATATTTTTTTTCCCACTTATCTTTAAAACATAAGGGAGATACATGAAAATTTCTAATTGGAGGTGATTATCTCTTCCCAGGAGATAAAAACCAATTTTACAACATCAACATTCACAAAAATGAACTTACAGCCATTCCTGACCTTAAGCAAAATTTAAATCCCATTGGAATCTGTCTAACAGATGATAAAATAAAGGAGGCTTTGGATAATACTAATCCTAATGGTGAGTAATTATTTCAATTTAAAATAACAAAGTTTTAGTATTTCAGAAGTTTCACTGTATATGCCCAAGAAGATACATCCCTTTTACATCTTTAAAAAGAAAAATTGAAAATGTATTTTCTTTTCTTTCAATTGATGGGTTTGTATTGAAGGAATTGATTTTCAGAGTATATCTCCTATAACTTTATTTTAGTTCTAATCTGCATATCATGTACATCACAATAGGATTGCCAGTCCTCCCATTATTTTTATGTTTATAGTTCTGGTTTATAACATCAAATGGTCTTCTCTACAAAAAAATCTAAATTCTTTCTCTTTTTCTTTTTTAAAAAAAGATGAAGTGGTGAACTTTAAGGATTTTATCAGAACATTGACCCAAACTGATGAATTTATCGAGTGCCAAAGTAAGTATGGAATTTGAAATGAATATGAAAAAAGAAACTTCATTTTTTGGGGTTGGTGTATATATAGTTATGTGTGTGTATAAATTATGTATATTTTTATATATACTTTACCAAGCTCCTTTTTTTTCTTTTTCTTGTTTAAACAGAGTTGATGTGTATATTTTTTAAACTCTAGGTTTTTAAATATATGAACACATAATTTTCATACCATAATATCCTTTTTTTTTTTTCTTTAAGATTTTATTTATTTATTTGACACAGAGGGAGGAAGAGAGGGAACACCAGCAGGGGGAACGGGGACGGGGAGAAGCAGGCTTCCTGCTGAGCAGGGAGCCCAATGCGGGACTCGATCCCAGGATTCTGGGATCATGACCTGAGCCGAAGGCAGATGGTTAATGACTGAGCCACCCAGAAGCCCCTATAATATTCTTGAATTACCTTTTTTAAAAGATTTATTTACTTGAGAGAAAGTGGGGGGGGGGACAGAGGAAGTGAATCTTTCCAGCAGACTCCCTGCTGAGTGAGGAGCCCCACCCCTGGCTCTGTCCCACATCCCTGAGATCATTACCTGGGCTAAAAAACAAGAATTGGACACTTAACCCAACTGAGCCACCCATGCATCCCTTGTATTACTTTTTTCTCTTTTTTCTTTATTATTGCTGACAGGTTTACCCATTTTCTTATCAAAGTAATTGGATTTTGTTTTTTTAATCACCTCTAGTGACTTTTGCTCTCTTCTGTTATTATTTATTTATTTCCCCATTTTATTATTATTATTTTACACTTACTCTATAGTTCTTTGTCAAAAACTTAAGCTAAATGCTTAACTTTTTTTCAGTCCTTTTTGAAATTTCAACACAGTTCTATCATGGAGACACTGAAATAGCCTTGGACCACAGACATTGAGATTGAGAATTATGGTCCTCAGTCTGGGGTTTTAAAATGAGTATTGAAATCAGTGGATTCTCTCTAAATTGATCTGCACTTTGAATGCATTTCCATCACTATCTCAGGATCATTTTGGAAGGAAACTTGACAAAATAATTCTGTATTTTTTTTGAAGATTATAGGTCTATGAATAGCTAAGACCCTTTTGAAAAAATAATGAGGAAGTTGCTTTATCAGATATTAGTACATATTACAATGCTATTTTATTTTAAAAATTTTTTTCTTTATTATGTTCAGTTAGCCACTGTATAATACTTCATTAGTTTTTGATGTAGTTTTCAGTGATTCATTAGTTCTATATAACACTATTTCAATATAGTGTTACAAATAGACCAATGCATTATAATACAGACCAGCAGAGACTCCTGTTAATGGGAACTTGGAATGTAATTGAGATGACATCGTCAGTCAGGGGGTTAAAGATACTTAGTATATGATTTGAGAAAATTGGCTTACTATGTGGGAGAAAACAGAGTAGAATCCCGCTTCATACCATATAAAAAAATAACCTTCAAGAATCAAATGGATATGAAAATGGATCTCAAAGGTAAAACTATACAACTGATGGAAGAAAATGTAAGGAAAAATATTGTGCCTTATGGTCGTGGATCCCTTCTTAAAAATACTACTCCCCCAAAGCGCAACCATAGGGTGAAAAAGGATGTAATTACATCAAAATTAAGGATTTCTGCTAAATGAAGAACTCTAAAGTATATAACAGACTGGAAAAAGATAATTACAAGATAATTAACAAAAGATTAATATCTCAAATATGAGGAAATTCTGCAAATCAGCAGTAGGAAGAAAAAAAATCAATTGGAAAAATAAGCAAGGATCTAAGGAGTCAGTACAGGAGGTGAAGCCCAAATAGGTAAATATATATGTGAAGAGATTTGGAAATAGTCACGAATTGTTGGTGAGTAGGTAAAATGGTACAGCATTCTGGATTGCAATCTAGCAGTACTTGTCAAGTATGCATATTTCTTATGGCCCAATAATTCTTTTTTTTTAAAGATTGTATTTATGTATTTGAGAGAGAGAGACATACATAGTGAGAGAGGGAACACAAGCAGGGGGAGAGGGAGAAGCAGGCTTCCCGCCGAGTAAGGAGCCCAATGTGGGGCTTGATCCCAGGACTTTGGTATCATGACCTGAACCGAAGGAAGATGTAAGGCCTGAGCCATCCAGGTGCCCCTCAATAATTCTGTTTTTAGATAAATAACCCAGAGAAGTTTCTTGTTAGAGACATGTTCAAGGGTGTTTCCTGCAACACTATGGGAGGATAAAAATGAAAGCAACGTAGACACCCATCATCAGGGAAATGGTTGAATAAAATATGGTCCATACATATTACACACCATAACAATAACTAGATTTACATTTGCACCAGAGAGAGACCTCAGTAATAATGTGGTTCCATGAAGAAAGGAAAAAATAGAATAAATGAATAACACACAATGCTTTATGTGTTATATCAACTATTGAATTGTTGAACACTCCATCAAAAATGAATGATGTCCTGTATGCTGGCTAAATGAATTCATTAATAAAAAGGAAACATTAAAAGATAATTTTTCTTAAATGTTCAACTCATGAAGCTTACAAGAAACAAACAACAAAACAGCAAAAACAATCTCCCCAAAAAGTACTAGTCAGGAGCTAACGAAGTTGAAGGTAGAAGTTAGTGAAACAGAACACAAACACAAACACACACACACACAAAAGAAATTATCCATATAACCAAAACTTTGTTCTTTCAAAAGATTGACAGAGAGTGCTTTAGGAAGTACGATGAAGGGAAAAAAATAGGGAGGACATAAAAAAGAAGACCGTCATAACTTGGATACAAATGAAATTAAAATATATAAATGAATAATACTTAAAACTGATTAATAAATCACCAAGTTGTTGGCATCTCATCAACAACACTGTCATTATCTCCAAACATTTGGATGAAGACAGAATGGGCTGCTTCCCCCACTTCCCCAATAGTGGTGTGGTTTTCTTTGGGGTCATTTTGATATTTTGTTGTTTTTGTTGAGCTTCACGAGTTGAACTAATAAAATATTTCGGCATTTCATGTTTTTGTTTTTGTTTTTAAGATTTTATTTATTTGAGAGAGAGAGAGAGAGCATGCAAGAGTTCACAGGCAAGGAGGTGCAGCAAAGGAAGAGAAGCAGGCTCCCCTCTGAGCAGGGAGCCAGAGGAGGAGCAGCGTTTCTTATTTTTTAATGCACACATTTAAACCTATAAATTTTTGGAGCTCTCGGTTTGGAGGATATTTCAGAGAAGCAAAACCCTCAAGACTGTTTTCAAGAAAATGAATACATTTCACCCAACTCAAGTTGTGATATGCTTATCTGGATAGACTGGCCAACTAATATCTTTACGTTCTGTCACTTCTCTATATAGAAATAGAAGATGCATCCAACATTGTTAATAGTGTCTTTGATGGGAAAGTTGATCTTAAAGACCTTTTATCTGCCTTGGAGAACCTGGAGAAACCTTTAAGTGAAGAAAAACCTGAGGCGTCACTGAACTCTGCAACAGATGGTGAGCACTTGAGTTACCTCACAGGTTTCCTGTTTAGAATACACGCGCTCACACAGGCTAATCTTTTTTTAAGAATAATAATACTGTATATTTAGGAAGGTTGTTATAGAACTGATGTGTAAATCTTGGTCACTGTGAACTGTTAGAACCCTTTTGGAAAGCATGTGGATAGTCTTTATTTGGAGAAGACGAATAGAAGCAAGTATTCTTGTTATCTATGTTTCAAAACCAGATACTCCTTTATTAGATTATGATGGTCACAATAATAAATACGATAGAGCCCTGCTCTTCCATTTCTCCAACTCTGGATTCCAGAGATAGGATAATTCTTAAAAACAGAGCTCCTCCAATAAATGTGATATTTACTGTGGCATTTTTCATAAATGCTGTTCACCAGACTGAGGAAATTGCCTTCTATTCCTTGTTTGCTAAAGGATTGAATTTATATTTGTTTATTTGGTTTATCATGAATTTCCCAAACAATTTTTATGCATCTGTTTAGGTAGATCATAGGGGTTTTTCCTGTAATCTGTGAGTGTGGAGAATTATGTTAATTTTAAAATATCAAATGAAACCTAAAATTTGGAAAAACCCATTTTGTTCATGATATATTGTCCTTTTTATGTAAGTATTTTCCATTCATTTAATTTCACTTTTCCTGTATTCTTATTCTTCTAAAGAAAAAAAGATAAATTTGGAACCATGTGAGGGAGACTAAAATTTGAAAAAAAGAAACAGAACTTCTAGAAATTAAAAAAGTAATAATTAAAATTAATTAATGGACAATAATGTCAGCAGATTAAACATAGGTGAAGAAATATGAATTGCAAAATAGTTTGAAGAAATTATACAAAATGCAGTATAGAAAGAAACAAGAAAGAGGCTAAGAGGAAGGCAGAATGAAAAGGCTACTTATTGCAGGAATTGATTTGAAATATATATGTATATCAGACTACAATGTTACATACTTTACACTTACATTATAATTAATATAATGCTATATGTCAATTATATTTCAGTAAAGGTAGAAAAAGAAAAAACGAGTAGACATGATATATATCCATTGAGGGGAGAAGAGACAAAATGGTTGCAGAGAAAATATTTGGAGAACTATAGCAGAGAATTTTCCAGAATGAGAAAGACCTAAACCTACCAATTAAAGAAGTCCAGTGAATCCCACATAGGATGAAAGGAAATCCATCCATACATAGGTTTATCATGATGAAACTGCAGCCTACCAGAAGGAAAGAAAGTCTTAAAGTAGCTAGAGAGAAAAGCCGAATTATCTATAAAAGGAATTTTTTCTTATTCTTGATATTTTCTTGATATTTTCTCTGGGTATTGAAATCTAGAGAAACATTTTTGTAAGTTGAGGATAAACCCCCCAATTTGGGAGAAACCTAGGCTTTGTCAGACCTTTGAAAATACAAACTTAAGTTTGTCCAATGTTTTATTTTGTCTTTGGCAAATACTCTGGGTGAAAAACAGTAACCGTGTTTCTGGATTACAGCCTTCAATCGGTTGTTAGTCTGGAAATTTCTTACTTTCTTGGCAGCAAATTGATTTAAGGTAATTTTAAAGCAATAATTTTACTTAAAATTTTTAGTTCTTTTTAGTAGAATGGTTGATCCAGATATCTAGGTTAATTCATTACTGGCACCCTCTCCAATTCTAAGGTTGCACCATAATGTGGGAGATAAAGGAAGAGCTTTTAAAACTCTCTTGCATCCCTGAAACAAAGAATACATTATATGTTAATAAAATAAATAAATAAAAAGTTAAAAAGCAAAACAAAAACAAAAAACCTCCCTTGCATCGTTTCTACTGACACCTAGTGGACGGAGCCTATGGTAATCCTGCATCTATGGGAAGGGGTTTGGGAACGGGGTGCTCCCCCAGGGCAGTTCTCATTCTTTCCCATCAGACTTCTAGTCTCTCTCCCCCTCGGCCCTCCTAATCCCGCCCTCTCTTTCTTTCTCTCTGCTTCTTTGACTCAGGAGAAATTCTTCCTCGTTATTTAGGCATTTGGTGTATTTTCTTCAACGACTCTAGGTTTCTATACAAGCAGTCTCTATAGAAACTTTCAATCTACAAAAATCTCAAGAGTGAGGAAATACTTAAGGCCAAACTAACTGCTTAGAACAGGAAAGAAGGGGGGAGCCTGGGTGGCTTAGTTGGTTAAGCATCTGCCTTCATTTGGCTCAGGTCATGATCCCAAGGTCCTGGGACGGAGTCCCTCATCGGGCTCCCTGCTCAGTGGAGAGCCTGCTTCTCCCTCCCCCTGCTCTGCCTGCTGCTCTCCCTGTTCTCTCTTTCTCTCTCTCTGACGAGTAAATAAAGAAAATCTTAAAAAAAAAAAAAAAAAGAACAGGAAAGATGGGTCAAATCATCCACCACTTCAAGAGATACAGTGCAATAGTTCCAATATTTGCTCTTTAAACAAATTACAGTAGGCTTCCAGAGAAGGGTAACTTTTGAAGCAGACCAGAGTCAGCTGACTCAAATGTCTGCAGTAGCCAGGGACATAATGAAAATTAATAAAATGAATTAGGTATAAGATGAAAGGAAGGGATGTGGACTGTAGGGTAACTTGAGGGCACATATCCTATATTAAGATAATTAAATTCAAATGAGAAGAAAACCCCAACACTCCCTAAGACAATGAAAATGATTGTATCTCGGTTATATTCAGTCTGTGAGCCTGTGATACCTGAAGCAGGATTCTGTAGGAGTGGGGGAAAAAAAATCTTTTCCTTCTACCTTTCTAGGTTCTCTAGAACTCTTCTGGAGTTCTGTAACAAAAGATTAACAAGAGAAAAGCATATATATTTAATATAAACTTACGTGAAAGGGGAGTATACATAAGGAAATGAAGACCCATAAAGTGGTTAAACCCTAATGTTTTAATGTTATGTTTGATAAAGGATAGAAAGTGGTGGAAAATGTGATAGGGCAAAATGATATGAGCCAAGGGAGGTAAACTGGGGGAAATTTAACAAGGCTTGTTCCTTCACTTTCCTCTGGGTGTCCCTCCAACCCTCAGTCTTTAGAGGTAAGGATGCTCTGTTCCTCTGGGTATAGCAAGAGCATCTCTCATGTGAGAGTCTTAATGACCTGCTTCAGGGAGGATGGGAAAGTCTGAATCCTAACTGCACCTTCCATTTCTCAAATTTCTTCAGCTTAAAATATTCAGTATGTTGAGGTGCTGTGTTTTGCGGGTAATGTATCCTGAACCCTGTCCTCCAAAGAATAAGAAATATTTATGTATGATGTTATGGATAATTCAGAGGAAATTGAAATTCAGTTATTAGGTTTTTGTAAGAGTTTTTACTACTTGGAAAAATTAATAATTTTATATATTTTCTTTCATGTATAGTTTTTCCTTGTTCGGTTCAGGGTTAAATAGGGAGTGGTGACAGTAAAAACAAGTTGAATTTCTCTTTTCTCACCAAACAGAACTTTTTTCCAAAGGAATTTTTTTTTTTTAATTCTTTCTCTTCCTTGGCTGTCTTTGTAGTATAAATCGTCTCTGCAGGGAGGGGCCCTATGTATTCTCTCATATTCTTTATAGGTGTGTATATATTTTTGAACTATATAACCTTTGTGTAATTTCTTTAAGCCATGGGTCACAATACTGGGTTGTGAAATAAATTTACTAAGTCCTGAATAGCATTTTAAAATGAAATGAAATCATGTGGAATTTGTTAGACAGTATCAGTATGCAGCACATAAGTATTGTTTTATAAAACATTTATTTGTGTGTGTGTGTGTGTGCATGCACATGCTCACAATCTAAATGTATTTCTTACCATGTATTATAGTCATAGAATTTTGAAAACTGAATGAAATTATATTAAAGCAATATCAGATCCTTGCCTTAATGAGGTTGAAATCTATTTAAACCCTATTTTATTTCTTAACTTTGCAGAAAATAACAAGATCGTAAAAGATATTATTGATGTTTTCACTAATTCATCTAAACCATCAACACCATTCAACAGTAAGTATAGTAAAAGAATGAAAATTAAAAATAAACTTCTAAGATCATTCTATGGTATTCTACTTTTTCTAAAGTATAGTTTGTTTTGCCTTGTGCTTTTAATTCCTTAAGTTTTCTTTGCTTTACTGAGATGTTATAATCTGCTTTCTTATTCCTTATCATAGTCAGTCTATACTTTGACCATAATGAATTATTTAGATTACATTCCTAGAATTAATGCTTCCTTAAAGCAAACAGTTTGTCTCAGTATATGCTTCAGTGTAAGGTATCCCATGAATCTAGTACAATTTTCTCTCACCTCTAATAATTTCCACATGCTTCTTTATCTCACCTATAATGAAACATTGTAAAAGAAAGTAAAGGAAAAAAAAAAGATCTAGCACATCTAAAACTAGCAGGTAGGTAAGAGAGGTTCTCTAATCCTAGGATAGGATGTTACTACGTGTTTTTAAGGGCATAGCAGATTTATATTTTCATTTTTCTTTCTCCAACTACCTGTGTTCTATTTCTGCTAGCTATTCTCATTCTAAGAGCTAGTACCTAGCTGTACTTGAAATGCTTTACAGTCTGTGAAAGACTGGAGCATGTAGTAGTTTTTACCTTTGAGGGGAAATAATAAAAGCAAATTTTTACAAAAGTTTTGCAGAAGTTCAATTTTTAGCTGGTTAGGGGTGTGTTAAATTTTGCTTATTGTTTAAGTGACTTCTGAAACCAAAGCCCATTAATATGTTTTGAAAGCCCTTTCGCTCAGAATTCCTTTCGTAAACATCTACTCGCTGCAAGTAGGGTGTTAAGTCTAAGAAAGGAATTTGCCCAAGCCTCCTCCTTTGTTCTCTATTCTTAATGTATTTACAGATTTATTTAAAGAGATTACAACTCTTGATAAGATCAGAAATGATAAGATGCCTGCAAATGAACTGAGCTTCCAACTCTTGAGTACGGGAATTCCACTGACCAATAAGACATTCCAGGAGATTCTGGGTCAAGCATCTACTGATGGTGAGCCCTTTTTGAAAGAACATTCTATGTTGAGCTTAATGAAGTCCTAGTTCTACTGTGAGCTTGGGATATCTGTTATATGTATGCATAGTTTAGATAAACTAGGTCTTAGAAACATAATGAGAACATAAGCATACTGAGAACTAATTAAAATTAATACTTTTCTCTTGGAAATGTTATTTATTTATTTACTTACCTAGTGCATCCATGCCCAGTGTGGAGCCCAATGGGGGGCTTGAACTCATCACCATGAAATTAAGACAGGAGCTAAGATTAAGAATCAGGTGCTTATGGGGCGCCTGGGTGGCTCAGTGGGTTAATGCCTCTGCCTTCAGCTCAGGTCATGATCTCAGGGTCCTGAGATCGAGCCCCATATCGGGCTCTCTGCTCAGCCGGGAGCTTGCTTCCCCACCCCCTCTCTCTGCCTGCCTCTCTGCCTCCTTGTGACTTGTCTGTCAGGTAAATAAATAAAATCTTTAAAAAAAAAAAAAAAAAGAATCAGGTGCTTAGCTAATTGAGACACCCAGGCACCCCTTCTTCTGGAAATATTTTGAAGAGGCACCCTCTGTTTATCTGGCATCATATTTGTAAAATGTATACATCAAAATTTAATTAAGATAAATAGTATAATCAGAATTTTTTTCTTATTTTAAGGGAACAGATTCTTCGTAAAACTATTTTAAATTTATTAGTTTTTATCCCCCTAATTTTCGGAAATTAACAAAATTTGCCCATCCCCCCATTTCCCGTCATGGTTATTTTACACTTTGCCATTTTATAATCCTTATACTTTACTTTTTAGAAAATAGTGAAGTAAGTCTCAAACAAATTTTGGAGTCTTTGAACACAAAAAAGCCAGTTCCTCAATTTGAAGGTGGGTCAATCAATATTTCATTTAGACAATATTTCATTTGTCATAGTTTCCTATTGCCTTTTGTCATTATTTAAAGTGTTTTGAGGTATAAATGATATAAAAAGATGTATATTTTTATAATTAAAGTGCACAGTTTGGTAAGTTTTGATATGTGCGTACATCTATAAAACTACCATCATGATCAAGATAATGAACATATCCTTCACCCCCAAAACTTCCTTATGTTCCTTTGTAATCTTCTCCTGCCATTTCCTATCCTCTCACTCATCCTCAGGCAACCCCTGGTCTGCTTTTTGTCAGTATAGATTCATTTGTATTTATCAGAATTTTATAAAATGGATATGTTCTTTTTTTGCTGGATGTTTTCATTCAGCATAATTATTTTGAGATTCACCCATGTAGCATGTATCAGGAAGTCATTCTTATTTATTGCTGGACAACACTCCATTTTACTGACAGACCACAGTATATCTGCTTACCTGGTGATGCATATTAGGCTATTTCCAGTTCGGAGCTATTACAAATAAAACTGCTATGAATAATTGTGTACAAGTCATTGTACAATATATTGTACAAGTCGTATGCTTTCATTTCTTTTGAGCAGTTACCAAAGCTTGGCTGGCTCATATGGTAGGTGTATGTTTAACTTTTTAAGAAACTGCAAACTGGTTTCCAATGTGGCCACACTATTTTACATTTCTGCTTGCAGTGAATGAGAGTTCCAGTTCCTCTAAATCCTTGTCAGTACTTGGTATAGTCAGTCTTTTTAATCGTTCTAGTAAGTTGAATAGTATCTCACTGTGGTTTTAATTTGCATTTCCTTAATGACTAATGATGCTGAACATCTTCTCATGTTCTTATTTGCCATCTGTATATCTTCTTTGTAAAGTGTCTGTTTAGATCTTTTGCCCATTTTTAAAGTTGGGCTGTTTGTTTTTGTATTTCTGTATATATTCTGGGTACATATCCTTTATCAGATATATACTTAGGGAAATATTTTCTCTGAGTCTTATACTGAGCAAATTTTACTCTGAGTCTCTTCATTTTCTTAAGTGTCTTTAAAAGAGAATTAATTTTAATTTTGATGAAGTCTCATTAATCAGTTCTTTTCTTTTATGGATTGTGCTTTTGGTGTCACACATATGAAATCTTTGCCTCGCGCCAGCTTACAAAGGTTTTATTGTATGTTTTCTTCTAAAAGTTTTATGGGTTTTGGTTTTGCGTCTTAGCTGTATGATCTATTTTGAGTTAATCTCTATATATGGAATAAAGTACGGATCAAAGTTCCTTTTTGTTTTGTTTTGTTTTGCATATGGACATTTGTTTGTTTCAGCACAATTGTTGAGAGGATTATATTTTCTATACTGAATTTTCTTTGTACTTTTGTAGAAAATCATGTTTGTTTATTTGTTTATTTCCTGGATTCTCTGTTCTGTTCCATTGATCTTTGTCAGTCTTTACACAGATACCACACTGTTGGATTACTATAGCTTTATAATAAACACTGAAAGCACTCAGGTAGTATTGGTCCTTCAACTTTGTTCTACTTAAAAAAAGTTATTTTGGCTATTCTAGGTCTTTTCCCTTGCCATGTGAATTTTAGAATCAGTTTGTAATTTCTACAGAAAAGTCTGCTGGAATTTATTGGAGACATTAAAGGCCCTCAAGAATTAAGATCTGTTGGAAAGTTTCTTATCTAACAATGTCTTCTTAAATAGTACAACTCTTTTCTGCAATTCCTTTGTATCCCTGTACTTTGCCTCCTTTTAAATATTCTCCTACATAAACTAGGGATTATAACCCAAATGGCGACCTTGAGTGTATGATGATTTGTTTAACTCATTGATAAAGCAGACAGAGGCATAGCTCCAATCCTAAGGATCCCATTTAGAGGGGAAAACTTGTAGAGGTTTAGATAAGACCTGGGAAGAATGCGGAGTTCTTCAGCCTGAAAGAACCTCCAACATTTTTGTTTTCTTCATAGGAAAACCCCTACATCTATTACCTGTAATCTTGAAACTCTTCAATTCATATTTCTTCTGTAGATTTTGTGGCATTTGATTCTTGTACCTTTTAGGTTAAAAAGTAAAGGCATTTCCACTTTCAGGCACAGTATATTCCTGAAAACCTAATATTCCCATACTTCTGGGGAGAATTCTCATCATAGAGTAAAAGGTATGAGGAATAAGGAAAAAATGAAAGGAGCAGAAAAATATGTAAGTAAAAGAAAATTCAGGTCTAATTTTTTTATACTCTGAAATTTGGGCTGTATCATATACATAGAAATAAGCCCCGAATTCCCTCTCACTGGTATAAAATTAAACATTTCCCTAGGAGATGCTATTTTAACTTAAAAATGGCCTATTTTAACTTGAAAAAAAGCTGATAGTTTTATTCATTTAAAAAAACCCTCAGTCATCTTAATTTTTTTATATTAAGACAAAAATAACATCTCAGGGAAATATGCTTGCAATAAAGGAATATTTGGCTTATTAATTTTGGAATCATAGAGATAATATTAATTGAGATGTATGACTTAACAGAATCCGCATATGTTTTCAGATTTATCTACTGCCCTCCAGGCTGTCAACTTGATGGACTCCAACAAAATTCAAATTAATAACTTGCAAGATGCTTTTGATGACCTCAGTGTTTCTGTAAAGCCTGAAGAACACCAGATGTTAGAGAAAACGCTTGATGTTGATGGTACATATAATAACTATAAGTCGGCTTTCCAAATAAAGTGACAATAAATTTTCCATTCCCCTTCCCTGTCCTCCATTATTCACTCCCCAACAATTTTCTTTTTTTATTATCCTAATGGAAAAAACACTCTAATAGAGCAGGTCTATTGAGAACATGCATTTATCTTGATGGAAAAGTCTTTGAATAAGATTAATAAGATTTTTAAAGTCCATCAAGTATCCTGTGTTGATTCCATCAGAGTGTAATTTGTATGTGTATTTTTAGCATCTACTATGTAAATCAGGGAACATGAAGTAATTCTCTGTGAAGGTTGTGCTGACATAAAACTGCTTTTAGCCAGGAATAGACTAAGGGAAGACTTTCTGCCCTCGGCTTGAGATATTTGTGGCATGAGATTGATTGAATGTGAATCCTAAGAGCTTTCAGAGAAAACAATATATAATTTTCAAATTTTGCCAATTATCATGGGTGTTTTAAAATTAATTTAAAATCAATTCCTAAAAGTACTTTTGTTTTACAATAGTAAATGGGTTTTAGCATTGTTTCATCAATCATATTGACTGGGGTCACTGCACAACATCTGTTGTCAACAGCACACTTTGGCGTTAGGCAGTGCGTGGCCTATATGGCTATGCAAAGACCTGATCACAAGTACCTGTTATATGTAAGGTGTCATGTAATATGTAATGTAATCAAATAAATATAAAGTATTCATATTTAGGAAACTTTTGGTCTAGTTGGTGAGGCAAGCTATAAACAACAAAAGAGTATTTAACAATATAGGAGATAAAAGCTCAGTGCATTTGCAATGTTACATGGCAGCGCTTGAATAATAACCAGGGAAACAGTGATGTGATATTGTGATTGGTAATAAGACAATAACAAGGTGATGGGTATTAAGGAGGGCCTGTGTTGTGATGAGCACTGAGTATTGTACGTAACTAATGAGTCATTGGACACTACATCAAAAACTAATGATGTACTATACAGTGGCTAACTGAATATAATTAAAAAAAAAGAAAAATATATATTTGGTCTTTGACTGCATTCCTGGCATAGAGCTCCTAAGACACTTGTAAATTCCTAAGTGATTTGAGCAATAGGGGCATCTTTTGTTCTAATAGGCAGTTCTGGGTGGGCATCTGGTTCCTAGGTGGGGATGAAAAGATAAGCCATGATTAGAACCTTGGAATTTTTAGCATTCTCCAGAAAGGGGAAATGGGCTGGAAATGGAGTGAATCCTTGATTATGCCTATGTGAGGAATCCTCCATAAAATCCCAGTTGTTCAGAGAGCTTCCAGGTTGATGAACACATCCACATACCAGGAAAGTGATTCACCTCAACTCACCGGGACAGAGGTGCTATGCTTGGGACCCTCCCAGATCTCCCACACCCTATGTATCTCTTCATCTGGCTGTTCTCAAGTATACTTATCATATCCTTTAATAAACTGGTAAACATTAAATGTTTTCCTGAGTTCTGTGAACTATTCTAGCAAATAATTGAATCCAAGGGGGAGAAAGTCATAGGAATCTTCAATTTGTAGCCAAGTTGGACATAAGTTGTGGGGAACCTGGGGACCTACTTGTAATTGGCTTCTGAAGTAGGAGGAAGGACAGTCTTATGAGACTGAGCCCTTAACTTGTGGGACCTGATGCCATCTCCAGGAAGATAGTGTCAGAATTGAGTTAAATTATAGGATGCTCAGCTGATGTTGCAGAGAATTGCTTGGCGGGGGAAAACACCCCCCCCACCAACATCTGGTGCCAGAATGTTGTGAGTATGGTAGTAGTTTGAGAGTAAAGGAGAAACACAGGAGAACTGAGTTTTTTTCCTATACAAGTGATGACACTGAGTTGTGTAAGAGTTCAGAGGAGAGCAATTTCATTCATTCAGGAAAACTTTTATTAAGTACCTATTGCTTGTTAATCACTAAATATATAAAGATAAAAGAGATTACAGTCTACTGAGATCACAAGCAATGAGAATACCAATTGTTAAATACCATGACGGAGGTAAACAGTATTATGGGAATGTATACAATATGTACCTAACTTACACAGGGTTGGATAGGGTAGTTGGAAGAGGCTTCTTGGAGGAAATACTGTTGGAGTTGAGTTCTATATATTTTTTAAAGTTTTTAGAGATTTTATTTATTTATTTGGGAGAGGGAGAACTAGCAAAGAGACAGAGAGCACCAGTGGAGGGAGAAGCAGAGGGAGAGGAAGAATCAGGCTCCCACTTCATCAAGATCAAAAGCTTTTGCACAGCACAGAAAACAGTTAACAAAACCAAAAGACAACTGACAGGATGGGAGAAGATACCGGCAAACAACCTATCAAATAAAGGGCTAGTATCCAAAATCTATAAAGAACTTATCAAACTCAACACCCAAAGAACAAATAATCCCATCGAGAAATGGGCAGAGGACATGAACAGACATTTCTGCAAAGAAGACATCCGGATAGCCAACAGACACATGAAAAAGTGCTCCACATCACTCGGCATCAGGGAAATACAAATCAAAACCACAATGAGATACCACCTCACACCTGTCAGGATGGCTAAAATTAACAAGTCAGGGAATGACGGGTGCTGGCGAGGATGCGGAGAAAGGGGAACCCACCTACACTGTTGGTGGGAATGCAAGTTGGTGCAACCACTCTGGAAAACAGCATGGAGGTTCCTCAAAAAGTTGAAAATAGAGCTACCCTATGTCCCAGCAATCGCACTACTAGGTATTTACCCTAAAGATACAAATGTAGTGATCCGAAGGGGCACGTGCACCTGGATGTTTATAAGAGAAATGTCCACAAAAGCCAAACTATGGAAAGAACCTAGATGTCCATCAACAAATGAATGGATAAAGAAGATGTGGTATATATATACACACACACACACACACACACACACACACACAATGGAACACTATGCAGCCATCAAAAGAAACGAAATCTTGATATTTGCGAAGACGTGGCTGGAACTAGAGGGTATTATACTTAATGAAATAAGTCAATCAGAGAAAGACAATTATCATATGCTCTCCCTGATGAGAAAGTTGAGAGGCAATGTTGAGGGTTTGGGGGGTAAGAAAGGAATCAACGAAACAAGATGGGATCGGGAGGGAGACAAACCATAAAAGACTCTTAATCTCACAAAACAAACTGAGGGTTGCCAGGGGGGGTGGGGTGTAGGGAGAGGGTGGTTGGGTTATGGACATTGGGGAAAGATATGTGCTATGGTGAGTGCTGTGAAGTGTAAACCTGGTGATTCACAGACCTGTACCCCTGGGCTAATAATACATTATATCTTAATTAAAAAATTAAAAAAATATATATTAATAAAGCAGGTTCCCAACTGAGCAGGGGGCCCCACGAGGGGCTCAATTCCAGGACCCTGGGATCATGACCTGAGCTGAAAGCAGATGCTTAACTGACTGAGTCACCCAGGCACCTCTGGCATTGAGTTTTAAGATATGAGTAGGAGCTAGCCAAGAACTGGGAGTACAGGGAAGGGGACTGGAAGGAGTTAAGAAGGAGTGTTCAGTATATACAAATTATAGAAGAACAAAGCTGGTGGAGAAATCAAGGAAGTCTTAAACAGTCCAGGAGGAGGTATACCAGTGGATATCAGACAGATTACATCTGAATTGCCTAGGGAATTTGTTAAAAACAAATTGCTTACATCTCCTGCTTCAGAATATCTGCATCATGGCCAAGGTATGTGTGTGTACATGTGCACTGTGTGTTTAACAAGCTTTACAGTTCATGTTGACACTGGTCATCATCGTGGTGGTGCTTAGTGGCAGGAGGAGTGGGAAAGAAAGAATTGAAGTGGCCATATACTCAAGAGCGGATCCAGAAGTGTTTTGTTTTTATTTTTGTCTCTGGCAGCAGATTTTGAATTTTATCCTGAAGGCTCTGGAGGGTCACTGAAGATTTCAAAGTAGAAAAACGACATGACAAATTTTGCACTTAATAATGGGTATTCTTTTTTCTTTTTAAAAAGATTTTATTTATGTGTTTGAGAGAGAGAGAGCACAAGCAGGGGTTTGGCAGGCAGAGGGAGAAGCAGGCTCCCCAGTGAGCAGGGAGCCTGATGCAGGGACTTGATCCCAGGACTTTGGGATCATGACCTGGGCCAAAGGCAGGCACTCAACCAACTGAGCCACCCAGGCACCCCTTAATGAGCATTCTGATAGCATTAAGAAAGAACAGGGGAGGGCGAGATTGGAAGCAAAGAGACATTTTAGAAGGCGTGCAGTAATTCAGGTTAAAAATAATGTGTTGAAGTAAGGCATTGGCTCTAGGGATGGGAAGAAAGGAACAGATACATAGAGTTCTAGGAGGCAGAACTTCATCATTGTTTGGTTAAGTTAGGGAAGGGAGAGAGAAAGAAGTTGAAGGTGACTAACAGATTTTTGACTTGGGAGACATTCCCTAGTGATGCCTTTTAATAAGCTGGGGAATACAGGAGGAGGATCAGGCTTTAGTGCCAGGATGAGTTCAGCTTAGGATATAGTATGTTTGATGAAGTGCATGATGGAGGGAAAAGATTGAAATGAGAACAGATAAATCTAAATTCCTTCACAAATTACACAGGTTTTTTTTTATAATCTAGTTCCTTTTATCTGATGTGTTTAGATTAACCTTTTCCCACAAACTTTCTTACACATTTTTGTAATGTTTCAAGACACTTAATTAAAAAATTGAGTAATTTAAACTAAATCCAAAATTAAGAAACTACTTACAGTTCCCAGAACACATCACACTCACTTATATTTCTATACATTTTCCTCATGAATCTGTTAACCTTCAGATATACTGCCACATCAGTAAAAATGTGACCTCCTTGAAGATTTCCTTAACTCATTCAGCTAGATACGAAAGCTTTTTTCTGACATTTCAATAATATGCCATCTTTACTATCACTGAGACCATTTTGCTTTATAACTGTTTGAGAAAAGTGATTATTTGGGGGAAATTTCCATGAGATCTATGAGGGAAGGATACATTTTGAAAATCTGCAAATAAAGTAAAAATGAATGCTTAAAGTGTAAGTAAATTTAAAGCATTCTGTTGGGAGAACAGGTTAAATATATAGTTTCAATACAGTGAGAGGTAGGTAGAAAGATCAAACAAACAGTTGGCTTTTCACTTCTTACTTTGACCTTAATCATATTATCTCACTTATTTTTCAGGTTCTTCCAGCTAATGGGAAAAATTTAGGTGTTTGTGTATTTCTGAATACACAATATGTGCATCTTGGCTTTAAAAAACTTAGTAGGAACTATGTTTACTGGATAGGTGGTCATTTATAAAGTTTGCCACCTAGATGAAACTTTAAGTTTCCTTTTTTTCTCAATTGTTTAGAAAGTATTGTTAGATATTTATTATCTTCCATTAAAACTGATTTCTCAGAAATACTCAGATATTCTTTTAATCAATTAATATGTGATAATTCCTTTCAGATATATAAAACCCAGAATAACAGTTTAAACTGAGAATTAGGAGGGGTTTGATTTATAATAAATTAGATTTTATTTTAAGAAGATGATGTAGGTTAATCCAATTATTGCTTGTTTTAATTTTGCCTCATCTTAATTTTTCATTCTTTTATTTGAATTTTATGTTTCATCATTTTGTGTTTGTCTCAATATAATTTGTCTGTCTTCAATATAAAGCAGTAAATCAGTAAAGAAAATTGTGAAAATAAATAAGAGCATGCCATAAAAATTATTTGTAATAATATTAGCCAATACTTTTATGTATTGAATACATCCAATTATTCCTAGTTCCTGTTTCTATACACCCATTGTGCAAGCTGACAGCAGACACTTCAAACTAGGTTCATAACTCAGCGTCCGTGAAAAATAGTATTCATTAGAAAATGATGTAAACACAACTGTCAAAACCACAGAAAGTTGTTCTCTCTCTTTTCTTACAACTTTTTAAGATATGAAGGTAAAAGAAAATGCAATTAGAATAATTCACTGAAAGTTTCATTTGCCACCTGCCATTCTCTGCTTGCTGATCACAGGGAGTTTTTAACTTGCAGATTTTCCTTGATAGACTGGAATTAGGACAGAGTCCCTCTAAAGTGAGTGCTCCAGCTGCCACATGGGGATAAAGATAGAGCCAATTAAATCAAAGTTTGGCAATATGGAAGTAATAAATGCATTTGATCCCAAAGATTTGGGACCCAAAGTTCCCCAAGATTTGTTATTTGCATAGAAATAAAATAGTTAACTTATTTGTGTTTTAAATCCCCCCACCAAAGGATATATTGTGTTTGAGGGGCTTGTGGATGTAGAGCTGATGATGTGTAGTAGACAGTGATCTGGCCTAGAAACAGAAACTTGAGAATTCAGAAATAGTTCATATAGTGTAACAAGAAGAGGGCCAAGGGTAAAGCACAGGGCATGCTAACATTTAAGTAATGGTGGAGAAAGAATAGTTTTTAAAGGACAGTAAGAAGCAGCTAGAATGGTGGGAGGGAAACCAAAAAAAAGAAGAGTGAAAAAAGAGTCTGAAGGAGGAAAGTATTAAATAAGACCAAAAAGTTAAAAAGTGTTCATTAGTTTGGCAATAAATAGTTAACAGATGAACATGGTAAAAACAGTTTCCGAGGAGATGGAAGCCAGATGAGAGCAGTTTGAAGAGTGAAGGAGGATGTGATGAATAAAAACATTTCTTTCCAGAAAACAGATTGTGAAGGAAAGGAAAAGGAAAGAGTATAATTTAGCAGGGTATCATAGAGGCGCAAGGGAAGGGTTTTTAGAAAACTAGAGTTACGAGCTGGTTTTGACATGAATAGGATTTCTATAGGTAGAGTGTAGGTTGCATTCTGGACAAAATTTGCATATCTAGAAAATCATAAGAAGTTTGAAGGGGGCAGTCAGTGAACCAACCTAGCTCACAGTGAAAGTGCTTTATGTTTTTTGAATTTATTAATTTTTCTTTGTTCTGTTTTTGTCTACAGAAAAGGGAGAGGTTTCCCTAAAGACTGCCCTTTTGGCACTGAAGAGCAATAAGCGTTTGCAAGATTTTAGAGGTGAGAATAATTAGGAAGTTTTATACACATTTTGAATATAGGAAATTGTTAGCTAGTTGTCGAAAAGTGAGGCACCACTTTCATAAAAGTATAATTTTGTATATAATACAAAATTAAATGAATGTTGTACATTTAGTATTTTAAGAGTTCAGATGAAGGTGAGCTTCCTATGTTCATGAAAGTCTAGTTTGTAACATTGTAAGTTTGTAGAGAAGCAAATAATATGTCTTCTAACAAGAATGCCAAAATACATGACCCTAAAATGTTTTAATTAATAAGTTTAATTTTTTTATATGTAATGCTTTCACACAGATCACAAATTTAAAAATATTTAAAGGTACATAGTGAAACTTTGCCTCATACCTGATCTCTCTATTGAGTTCCTATTCCTTTTTCCTAGTAATTAATGAATAAGTAACTGGTTTCTAATGTAGGTAGTATTTAGAGCATTCAAGAACAAACAAACAAACAAATATATATATATATGTATCCCTCCACATACTTTTTACATAAGTAGAAACATAATGTGTACATTGTTCTGTATCCTTGATTTTTTAAAAATGTAACAATATGTTTTTTATATTTGTTCATATTGGAATATAAAGAGCTTTCTCGTTTTTTGTAGTTGCATAATATGTGGATTCTCATGCTGATGGAAATATATATAACTTATTGGGATCAGTGATCCATCCAACTTGAATCTTGGTCTTTTTTATTGTGGCACCAAGAAATGTTTTGTGGCATCTCATAATGGATGTCCTCTGTGAAATATCTAACTTTTGAGTGTAATTTTGGAAAGTTCTGACTCACTTTAAAAATGAGTTAATAGCCTCATGTTTCATTAACTTACCAAAATTCTTCTCCAATTCTTATTTTTAGTATAAAAACATCTTGGGGAAAAAATGTGCATAGTTTTTTTCATATTCTCTACAGACATATTTAATTTTGTTTGGTTTCAAATAATATAATAGTTGGTTGGCAACAATAATACATTTGTATAACGTTGATGTTTTACCAAGTTCTTTTACATAATTTATTTCTTATCAACTATTTTTTATGACTCTACTGTTAAGTAGGAGTATTATAATAAAGAATGAGAAAAGTGAAGTTTGAAGAAATTGTACCATACCTAAAACCCCACAGCAAGACTCCATGTGCACATATGTTCTTGTCTGTATTGTAGCTTAATGGTTTAGTATAATATTAATTTTATACTATAACTTACAAGTTAATAGCTTCATGATCACCGTGTGGTGATATATATTGAACAAAAAATGTGCATGAGATAGGCCATGAGAATCTTAAAATCTAGATGAAGAGATAGGTCATTTACATAAAAAATAACTAATGTGCTATAAGATCAAATTAGTGATACATATTTATTATTTTAAGAGTTCAGATGAAGATTAGATTCATCTGAAAAGAATTGAGGAGGGCATAGAAGAAAGGGTAACATCTTGGTAGGTAGAGGGAAAGCAAGAAAACCCTGAGACCTAGACATTAGAAGGGAAGAAAAGAATGGAGACATAAGTAGGATTTGAAAGATGAGGAATGAGAGACAGTTGATAGGTCTACATTGAAGGGAGTATTAAATGTTACCTCAAAACAGGCCTCAATATATTCTTTGGGCAAGAGAGTGTCAGGTGCGAAGCTGTCTCTAAAGATTGATTTAACAGTGTATTAGATTACAGAACCACTAGGAGCAGGAAGACCATTAATTCAATCCATTCATTCAACAAACAAGTGGCACTGTGCTGGTAAGAAAAGAGAGGTATATACTGGTCTCTGACCCTGGAGAACTCACTGAAGAAAGACAGATGAACAAATAACTACAAATTGTGCTAAATGTTAAGGAGAACTTGTGCAAGAAGGAGGTAGAGCATTAAGGTGCAGTGGTTTAATTTAGATAGGATGGCCAGGTAAGCAGGTCCTGAGATGTGATAGGATGAGAAGGAGTCATCTACTGGAAGAATTGGGAGAAGTGTCTTCCAGACGGAAGGAAGAAGGTATAAATGGTTCTAGGGTAGGAAATAATACATATGTTATTACCTATATTAGGCTACTACTAAAGTATTTGTTATTAAATAAAGAAGAAACTGACAAATGGGGGGAGGGACAAAAGTCTCTCTTACATTAACATTTGTTTCCAATTATTTAAACAATAATCATTCTGTTAGCAGCTTTATTAGCTATTCCCATGTATACCAAGGTTCTGAACTCTAAGTGAAAGAGAGTCAGTATAAGACAAATTCAGTTTAATAAAGGAATGGGAAAAAAGCAGATTGAGGTGACAGTGACTGGGGAGCAGCAGAGAGATCACTGTACACATACAGAAAGGATGTGGGAAACATGAGAAGCAGAAATAGATGCGCAAGGAGACAGATATCAAGGTTTAATTTCTCCTATGAGTTTGCTTTATATAATGGGTCTATTTTATATGGATGAAGTTGAGAGTTGGATGCATATGTACCTCAAGAGAGTATTTAAGGTGAGTACTATACCATCTTTTTAAAAATGCTAGGTACCTATACAAATTTTTTGAATTATAATTTAAGCTGATTATTTAGAATTTCTATGTAAACTGAAAATACTTTCTCTTGATAGAGGTTAAGGAACTTGCAAATGCCTTAAACAAAGTCACCAATGAAAAAGTTGATGTTGATGAAGTAAAATCTATATTGAAAGGCCTGGGGATTTATTGCCCAAAGGAAGAATTACAGGAGGTACTTACATCTATTCCTCTTGATAGTAAGTATTCCTTTTCTGAGTCATTTATTACGTATCAAACTTCTGTTTACTTTCACTCATGAATCCACAGAGCTGATTGATTAGGAATAAAATGTAATGAGTTCAATAACATTAGATTTTCCTTATTAGGCTGGATGAGAGTTTGTTTTGGATTATTCTCATATTGAATTATCCTAGGGAAGTATAATCTTCCACTCTTCTTTCCCTTTCTTTGGCTCCTGGGGTTTGAATCATACATTCTTATTGGACAGGGGCTGTGAAGCTCCCTCAAGCCCATGAAGCACAGGGCCAAGCTTTAACATGGTGATAACGAATACCAGTTTGGTTTCCCCACAGTCCTCGAAGAGCTACACTGGTATTTTTGAAATCCTGCCAGTGGGATGATTAGTTTACGTGCAATATAATTCCACTCATAGTAGATATAATTATAATAGATAGATATAATTATATGCACTCATAGTGCATATAATTCCACTCATAAGTAGAATCCAAAAAAAAGTCAAATGGGTGCCTGGCTGGCTCAGTGTGTAGAACATGTGACTTCTGATCTTGGGGTTGTAAGTTTGAACCCCGCATTAGTATTCTTTTTTCTTAAGTTCCAAGTATATGACTAACAAAAGGCAAAAGACTGCATGCTTCCTTTATTAATATGTCTTTGCTTACAAGTATATATAGTCTTCTTTAGGTATGGTTGAGTTTGGTTTATGGTACTTCTAATGAATATCTTCTTGTCTTCCCTCAAAACAGAAATGGTGGGGAACCTAGGTGGGTGGGTATCTGCCTTCAGGCCTGGACATGATCCCAGGGTCTTGGGATCGAGCTCCACATCGGGCTCCTTGCTCAGCAGCGAGCCTGCTTTTCCTTCTCTCCTCTCCCTTCTCTTGATTTCTCCCTTTCTGTATCTCTCAAATAAATTTAAAAACTTCTAAAAAATCAGGAAAACGTAAATGGTTATAGTAGGACTTGTAAGTGGTCCCAACTGGAAATATGTGTAAAATCCATAAGATGCTCACTGGCTCTTCAACAAAGAAGACCACAGGAGTCATCATAATCATATTCCTTTTCATAGTTAATGTGAGATGTGTTTAGCAGGATCAGAGTTAGAAAACAGGACTAACTTGGTTCTGAACATTTAGTAAACATGCATATCTTGTCACTCATTCTTTTGTATCTTTGGATCTTTCATTTCTTTATGTTTCATTTTCAGATGAGGGGAAAGTGGACTTAAAAGATTGTCTGACCCAGTTAAAGAAAATGCCATATTTTACAAAAGATTCAAGTGAGTGAGAATTTTTTAATAATAAAAATTTTGAGTAGAATTCTTCAGTTTTGATTTTGTGCATTTGTCTAGTTTTCTAATGCTAAAGCACATCATGTGTATAACAAATGTACTGGGATGATGAATCAATCAGGGATCCTTGTCTGACCTTTTCTTGAAATTGTAGTATTTTTTCCATCACTCAAAAAGGATAAATATATGAAGTCCATCTGGATTTCATATCCAAGTTTGTGTTTAGTATCCAAGATTGTGATCAAGATGGCTGCCGTGAGTTGCCAGTGTCTTGGACACTCTGAAATCCTGTGGGAATAAAATTGATGTTCTCTTCTAATTCGAAAAGATACATGCACTCCTATGTTGGTTGAAGCATAATTTATAATAGCCAAGACATGGAGGCAAATTAAGTGTTAACAGATGAATGAATAAGGAAGATGTGGTATATTTATACAATGAAATATTATACAACCATAAAAAGGATGAGATCATGCCATTTGAGACAACATAGATGGACCTAGAGGGTATTATGCTAAGTGAAATAAGTCAGACAGAGAAAGACCAATACCATATAATTCCACTCATAAGTAGAATCCAAAAAAAAGTCAAATGGGTGCCTGGCTGGCTCAGTGTGTAGAACATGTGACTTCTGATCTTGGGGTTGTAAGTTTGAACCCCGCATCGGGTGTAGAGATTACTTGAAAATAAAAATATAAATAAATAAAGCCAAACAAATAACCAATAAACAAAAAGCAGAATCAAACATATAAATACACAGATCATATTGATGATCACCCAAAGGAAGGAGATTTGAGGGTTGGGCAAAGTGGGTGAAGGAGTGAGGGAGATAGAGGCCTCAAGTTATGGAATGAATAAGTCACAGGAATAGATAGCACAGCATAAGGAATGCAATGATACTGTAACAGTGATGTAATGGGACAGATTGTAGCTACACTTCTGGTAAACATAGCATAATGGGTAAACTTTCAAATCATTAATTTGTACACTGGAACTAATGTAACATTGTGTGTCAGCTATACTAAAATTTTTTTGATCAGTATTTCCTTTTCTTTTTTATCCTATTATCATTTTATTAAAATGGGATTCTTATCATGAGAAGATTAGCTACTGAAACAAATATAGGAACATGTTGAAACATCTAAGCTTCCTCCATATTATGTAATAGGTATTCTTCCCATTACTCCACTACCTAGCCATGAAACATCGAATATAATCTGGCTTTAATGTGTTCAGTTAACTGACTTCTCCAACAATGAGATATCTGTGATGTCTGTGGAACTTCTGGGTCTCCTTGAAGTTTAGGCTAAATGAGCCTTGGTTAGTAAATTCACAACAGTTTTGGATCCCCTGGGTCTCCTTGGAGCAGCCCATATTCTTGAAATTAATTGAAATTGCTTAATGTCCTCTAAATTTTAGTTTCCAAAATTAAAACTGAACTAAATTCAAAAGATCTAATTTAGATAGCTACAAGGGATGAAAGTATTCACCAGAGCCAAGATATTTAGGGAAATAGCCATAATGGTGTTTCCTCAAGTGACAAAATATTTTGTCCTTAATCTTTGATTTTCTAAATGGGGCCTATAAAACTTTTCCAGGTGTGTGGCTTATGAGCAAATCTCTCACAGGATTAATGTTTATGATGGGATAGGGTTTATGATAATATAATATTCAAAATTTCTTCTTACTTGAACAATTCATACATGGTACTTTCAGAAATGAATGTTATCTTTCTTTGGTATTGCTATAGCAGTGCCAGTCTTTTCATTATTTGGGGGACATATTTGTGTTCATGTGTTGGATACATCTAAGTATCCACTGAATGAAAAAAATTAAGAACAGTCACATCAAACTTTGGATGGTTATCTAATTTTTGGCAAGATAATTACTTGTGTGGTTAGTTATCATAGCTTTAATGGAATTCCCAGCCTCAGAAATGCCAGAGGTGAGTATAAGCAGATGTCCTAAGATTTCTTTTTATGTAATTACTCTTCAGTCTCAGAATTAATATTTGCAATGATTTGTTTGGCCTAGTGGCTAAGCATTTTGCCTATGAAATCGGACTTCACACTTGGGTTCCCATTTAGTAAATGTGGATGCTTAGGCAGACTAACCTTGCTAAAGGTTTCCTTATCTATTAAATAAGGAATTTTTGTGGTATTAAATGAAATGGTGTATATAGAGCACTTAGACGCTCAGACAGAATACTTAATAAGTGATAGAAGTAGCAGTAATACTACTACTAGAATTTGTTGTTGTTGTTATTATTATCCAGGACCCAGTACTGATATTTGAGTGGTTGTTTTTTTTTAACTTCATACATTGTATATTTTTTCAAATATAGAAAAAGAAGGCCCCCTGAAAACTCTGGCTGCCATTAGGAAAATTATGGTCACTCCTGAAGAACTAGGCTCCATTATGAAAAATATAGGAGTTCCATTACCTGAAGATGTGCTTGAAAGATTACTACAGAATATAACTCTCACAGGTGAGTCATGTTTCTAGATATCCTTTATCTTAGTTGACATGCATTTGTTTGAAGTTTTCAAGAATCCTTAAGGGGTTTATCTGCTTCATGGATTATCCAAGGCTCTTTCAACCTACTACCCTGTTGGGTTCTACTTATATTCAGTAGCCTCATACAAAGGAGGATCTATAGGGGATGAATGTATGTATCTGAATGATATGCATCAGTTTGTCTTCCTTATTGAATATATATGTCTGTATTTCAAGACCAAATATATAAACTGTTTTTTTAGTACAGCAATTATGCTATAGTTGTCAGTCTTTGATCATATTCCCTGTTCCCTGACACATCTTTTTTCTTTCAGAGGATGGGAAAGTGAATTTAGAACAGTTTATGAGCAATTTAATCAATTCAGGATTTTCACCTCTACCTGAAAGTAAGAATTTTCAGTTGAATAGAGATAGATAAGATGTGGGTTATGGATCTCTTGGGAAAACCCCAGCTAGGATTTTGAGATGACCTTAAAATGATTTAACACTGGCTTAATTTTCTAATGTCTTTATCCTATCCATGTCAAATGTATAGCACAACTAAAAGAGAACATGCCCTAGTTACCTCTTCTGCCTCATCTGAGACCAGGGTCTTGACTGCAGTTATCTTCTCACTAAGGGTCTTATGAAGAAAAAAATAGCATTAGTTAAAATGACTGAAACAGTACTTGGAATTAGGCTGTTTAAAGTGTAATCATATGAGACATATTAACATGATAACGAGTGGTTTCCTGATACTGATTTATAATAACTCTTCATCAAGAAACTAGTGAGAACCTCTGTTACTATTAGGAGAATTTTTGTTCAGGTTTATTATTTTTCTTCTTTTGTTATTTGAATATTGTTTTCTTTGGTTACTTCTTTGTATTGGCTCCTCACTTTTTTTTTCCAGTTTCTCTTTGTACACCAATTCAAAGTTTAATGTTAGCACAATGTTTGTCAATTATAGTGTTAACGACCAGTTTCTTCTTTTGGTTTGCATAATATTTTCATAATCTTAGGCCTCAGAGTTCCCTGATAGGTTGCTCTTTCTTGCCCCTCTGGTGGTGAAAAGGAAGGAACGATTTATATTTTGCACATTAAATGAGAAGAATGTTTCTTTTTTTGTGTGCAAAGAATATTTCTGACACTAAGCTAAAATTGCACCTGTGGTAAAATCACTTCATACTGCCCATTTTTAAGCTCTCTCTATGGTTGCAGAAGCTCAAGGTTTACTTCTTTGACCATTGCCACCTACTTTTGGTTAGGCATACACATGTATCTTTGACAAGCCAAAAGTATTTATGAAGGGATGTTTCATAGAAATGACTTTTTTGAGGGAACTTCCTAATAATATATGTCAACTGTTTTTGAGAACTGGTGTTAAAAACAGCCATACCAAGTGTCATTGTGTTTCCTGATGACATTGCCCATTATATTATTTAGTGATGAATATGAAAAATGTGTTGAAATTTAATATCAGAAAAAAACTGTATCTCTCCCAAAGACCAGTGTGCTTCTTTGTGTAGACAATAACCCAAGTTCCCCTTTATGCCTTAGCTTCTAGAAAGTTCAGATCTAAACTTCATATTTAATCATTATAGCTTTGTTGGCTTCGTTTGTTATTTACTACCTTTTTCTTAGGTAGTATAATTCTCCTTTGAATTTTTATTTCTATTTCTATTTTATATTTCTGTTTACATTTATTTCTATTTTAAACATTTTAATATATTCTTTTTAAAACATATTAACTTTCATTGAATAATTCCTCAAACTATTTTGGGATGTCATTGGGTATACAGTATGAAGCAATGTATCAAAAACAGCTATCCTTGAATGCTGGCCCATGGGATATTAATGAATATGCCATAAAAAAAGAGTCCTATGACTAAATTTGGAAAACACTGGAGTAGAAAACCAACTTAAGCAAATTTCTCTGCCACTAGACTATTAGAGACTTTATATGTTTAAGAGTTTGATAGAGTTAATAAATAGCAGACCCTGAATCTGCCAGATCACAGAACTCTTTTGTTGTTATTTTATTTTGATAATTTTAGAAATGATACCCAAAAATCCAGCAATTACACTAATAGGTATTTATACAAAGGATACAAAAGTACTGATTTGAAGGGGCACATGCACCCCAATGTTTATAGCAACATTATCAACAATAACCAAACTATAGAAAAGAGCCCAAATGTCCATTGACTGATGAATGGATAAAGAAGATATGGGAGATATATATAATGGAATATTACTGAGCCATCAAAAGGATGCAGTCTTGTCATTTGGAATGACATGGATGGAGATGGAATGTATTGTGTTAAGCAAAATGAGTCACAGAAAAACTAACACTATATGATTTTACTTATATGTGGAGTTTAAGAAACAAAATAGGGCACTGGGATGGCTCAGTTGGTTGGGCGTCTGCCTTTGCCTCAGGTCATGATCCTGGAGTCCTGGAATTGAGCCCCACATTACCCTCTTGTATTCCTGAGACTGGCAGTTTATGTTCTCCCCCTCCCCCCCCCCCTTTTTTTTTGGCCAGTCCTTACTGGACTTCATCAACTTGGTTGATTTTCTCAAAGAACCAGTTTTTGGCTTTGATAATTTTCTCTATATTTTGTCCGCCTTATATTTTGCTGACTTCTTTTATCTTTGTTATTTCTTTCTTTTTACTGACTTTGGATCTACTTTACTTTTTTCCTAGCTTCTTATGGTGAAACCTATGGTGACTGATTGCAGCTGTCTCTCATTTTCTAATATAAGCATGAAGACCCATACCCTTCTTACTAAACCCCTCCTTGGCTGCATTCAATGAATGTTGAAATGCTTTGTTTTCATTATAATTCAGTTTGAGATATGTTCTTTTTTCTTTGTGATTTCTTCTCTTATCCATGTACTATTTAGAAGTGTGTCATTTAATTTCTAAATATTTGGGGTTTTCTTAGTTTTTTTTTATCATTTTTTAAAAATTTATTTTCAACATAACAGTATTCATTGTTTTTGTACCACACCCAGTGCTCCATGCAATCCATGCCCTCTCTAATACCCACCACCTGGTTCCCCCAACCTCCCATCCCCCCACCTCTTCAAACCCTTCAGGTTGTTTTTCAGAGTCCATAGTCTCTCATTGTTCACCTCCCCTTCCAATTTCCCCCAACTCCCTTCTCCTAACTCCCCATGTCCTCCATGCTATTTGTTATGTTCCACAAATAAGTGAAACCATATGATAATTGACTCTCTCTGCTTGACTTATTTCACTCAGCATAATCTCTTCCAGTCCCGTACATGTTGCTACAAAAGTTGGGTATTCATCCTTTCTGATGGAGGCATAATACTCCATAGTGTATATGGACCACATCTTCCTTATCCATTCGTCCGTTGAAGGGCATCTTGGTTCTTTCCATAGTTTGGCAACCGTGGCCATTGCTGCTATAAACATTGGGGTACAGATGGCCCTTCTTTTCACTACATCTGTATCTTTGGGGTAAATACCCAGTAGTGCAATTGCAGGGTCATAGGGAAGCTCTATTTTTAATTTCTTGAGGAAATTAGTTATTTTATTGTTACTTATAATTTAATTCCATTACTGTCAAAGAACATATCCCTTATGATTTCAATTCTTTTCAATTTGTTGGCTGCACGGCACTTTATCATTTTAATTTTTTTCCTAGGAAGTAGGGTTGATGACAGCAACCTAGATACTTTTCCAGGAAACATGAGGATGGAGATGTCAGGTAAAGAATTTTTTAAGATTCTGAAGGACCTGTCAGTTGAAAGTGACATATACATACACACAGTTCACATGGTTCTATGTTCTGAGAAGTCCTTTTATTAATCTAAATGTCTTACATATAAAATTCATTTAGAAAGAACCATAGAAAATGATAAAAAATAATTAAAAATTACCTTAAATGTCATGCTTTAGGTTTCCCTACTTGAGAATAAATTTTATGGTTTCTGAAAGTTTCATTTGGGGAGTGTGGAGGAAAGAAGGCTATGTATTTACTTTGTTAGTACTTTAGATCTAAACTTATAGGAATACTTTAGCAATCTTTCCTCTGTATTGCTGATTCAAAAAGCATTATTAAGATCCCACAATGTTCTAGTATTGTGCTAAACACTGAGAATTAGAATTTAATGAGACATGATTTTGGCCCCTCAGAAGATGATGATCCAGTAGGAAAGCGGATTGACCCTTCCATAGCCCTGCCAAGTGTCCGGATGACAGAATAGAGACTTTCCAGGGTTCAGAGCAAGTCCAAGGACCTAGAGAACTGCTCCCACAGAGCAGAGTCCTAAGCTGCCACCATTACCATTAGACCCAGTCCAATAGATCAAGAAAGTCCTGGCACACAACATTCTGTAACTCAGAATTTTTTTTTCAATTTTTCCTCCCTTCCCCTTTTTAAAGTGCTAGTCTGCACTTTGAAAACAGAATCTAGACATTAACAAAAATCAGCTTCTCTGAAGAAAAGCATTTCTAGAACAAATGCTGCTGTTTTTCACTGCCTTTATATAGCTCAAAACAATACAAAAATTTATGAAACACAAGTTATTTTTACAATGTTAGAAGACTGGGATTTTCAACCTTATAAATAGAAGAACATTTTATACATAGAGGTATGATGCGTTATTATTATTTAAAGAAACAATGACAAATCCTTTAAGTTGCAAATCTAATAATTACCAGTGAATTAGTCAATAACAACTAAACCAAAAATTCAATGAAGAAAGCCGATATAATCAAAATGTTGAAAATGGTGGAACAACCCAACCATTAAGCAATTTGCTTACTGTTTTTAATATGATTATAAAATGTGAAGAAAGTCCTTATCTTATCCCTCCTTTTAGTGATGTGGTCATACATGAGACAGGCACAAGGTTAATCAAGGCGGGTGGTCAGGTAGCAATGGGAACTGCAGCTAGGACCAGACAGGCAAGGGGAGCATGGAAGAGGAAAGGCCTAATTTACACCAACAGGGAACTGGATATGAAGGAAATAGGACTAAATGCATCTGTGACAACAAAATCATACAGGGGAGATGGCTGCTCATGTCCCTGACCCCCCAGTTTACAGAAGAGTGGGAATAGAGGTTAACTGGTCCTAACACAGACTTTATAGGCCAGGCCAGGTGGTAAAAGCATTCTGAATGCAAATGCTAGCATGTGGCGGTATGCACTTGGTGTGGTGGGACACAGAAAAGAAAATGAAGGAACAGCTTCAGCCAGGTAGTTTCTGTAGTTAAGGAGTCAAAACGGAGGTGACCGTCATAATAATATGTCTGCTCTGATCCTCGTTTATTTTTATGTCTTCATGCTGGCATTCACTGACTGACCTCCCTTTGCACTTGGCATTTTATCTTGCCATCTGTACCGGCCCTTGTTGCTGTGCTCCTCATTTAGACAGTCCAGTGCTTGGGGCTTTTGGCTCCTCTCACCAAGCCCTGTTCCTTTCACTGGGTCACAGGAAACGTTTTGCTATCTGATGGTATGCTGGGGATGCGGAGAATTTGTTGGCTGTTGCAGACTCTCCTGCTGTGATGTCAGTGCTCCCACTTCTTCTCTACCCTCCCCTTGCTGTAGTTTCTCAGCAAGGTCTGTATGTCCTGCTGCCTTCCAGGGCTCCCAATAGACTCTCAAGAACAGGCGCCATTTTTCTTGGTTGGCTTGCGCAATTGGAAGAGGCAGCTCACTAAAATGAATGGCTTAAAAGTTTCGTTGGGTAACAAGGAAAAAAAGATGCCATACCCCTATCTCCTTACATGAGCAGAATAAATGTGTCTCTTTTTTTTTTTTTGATAGGTAAAGGATTGATTGATTGATTGATTGATTGATTTTTTTATTATGTTCAGTTAGCTAATGATGTACTATATGCTGGTGTCTCTTTTTCTTAAGATCTGATTTTTAAGCAATACCCGGTGTGGGGCTCGAACCTACAACCCGGAGATACAGAGTTACATGCTCCACCAACCCAGCCAGCCAGGTGCCCCAAATGTGTCTTCTTTTCATCACTGCCTAAAAGGGAACTCATTCTGAGTCCTGAAAGATACTACAAAACTTGAATTCTGATTTTTTTTGCTTGTTATATATTTTAAAGTGCCTTATTTTGTAACTGATTCATTATCTCTCAGAAAACAGGATTCTTCATTGATTCTTTTTTTCTATTTTTTTAATTTATTTTATTTTTCTAAATTAGCATATAATGTATTATTTGTTTCGGGGGTACAGGTCTGTGATTCATCAGTCTTACACAGTTCACAGCGCCACCATGGCACATACCCTCCCCAGTGTCCATCACCCCCCTACTCCATCCCTCCTACCCTGCAACCCTCAGTTTGTTTCCTGAAATTAAGAGTCTCTTATGGTTTGTCTCCCTCTTTGGTTTCATCATTGATTCTTGATAGCTTTCTTTTTTCCTATTCTTTATATTGATTTGGAATTAAATTAGATTGTATTTAGGTAAATAAACACAACTTCCCTAAATCCTCTGTTTACATTAATAATTTTATAACATTCGCTATAATTATAAGTATTTACCTTTGTGACCTAGTTTCTCATTTTACAGCTGATAAAAAAATGAACAAGAAGAATGGGATAAGAGATAGGAGGTCATCTCCTGGTGAGTGAAAAATTTGTTAATTAACTAATTCATTTATTTAACAGATATTTACTGAATAGGTGATGCTATGTTAAGTGCTAGAGATTTGAATAAGTATAATAAATTTTTTAAACTTACAGTAATATCTGTGGCAAATTCTTTTGTATATTTTGAAAAACAATGTGTATTAGATGGTTTCCAGTGAATTAGTCAATAAAAACTAAACCCAAAATTCAATGAAGAAAGCCAATTTGCATTTTTTAGTCAAAGTCAATTATTTATATATCAGGCCCCAATGAGAACTTCTTGAAGAAAATATAAGAAAATAATTTTGTGACCTTAGGGTAGAAAAAGATTTCTTAGACAAGTGACCAAGAGTTCTAAGCATGAAATTTTAAAAATGATTAAATTGGATCACATCAAGATAAACAACTTCATTTTCTGAAAGACACAGTTCAGAAAATAAAAGGCAAGACACAGACTGGGAGAATATATTTGCAAAATGTATGTAACTTAGTACTGATATCCAGAATATCAAGAACAACTCCAGCATAAGAAGACAAACCAATGAAAGTGAGCAAAAGATTTTGCTCATTTTGGACATTTCACAAAAGAAGATATGTATGTTGACTAAATGAACTTAAAAAAATCCTAATAAATAAAAATTTTTAAAAATTCCCATGGAATTTTTATGTACCCGACCAGATTGTGTAAAATGATGGAAAAAAGAAGATATATCAATGGCCAATGACCACATGAAAGGAGGCTGAATGTTATTAGTTATCAGAGAAATGCAATTTAAATCATTAATAGATACTGCTGTTCATTCCCTAGAATAACAAAAATTTAAAAGATCGTAAGACCAAGTATTAGCAATAATATGGAGGAATTGTAACTCATACAATTGCTAGAGGGTATTCTAACCACTGTGGAGATAAGTATGGCAATTTCTTAAAAAGCTGACCATAAATTTATTATAAGACCCAGCAATCCCAGTAGTAGGTATTTTTCTAAGGTAAGTGAACATATATATATATATGTTCATAAAAATATTTGTGCATGAATATTCATAGTGGCTTTATTCATAATAGCTAAAAATTGGAAATAATCCTAATGTCCATCAACCAAACCATGGAGGAATAAACAAAGTGTGGTGCTTGTTCTTAAAGTTGCTTTTAATTAAAGGGGGAAAAGAAATATGTAGGCAAAAAATAAAAGAGAAAATTTGATTTGGAGGTTAGGAGTATCATATTAGGGAAGGTGCTTTCTGAGGACTAAGTGTGCTCATGGTCAGCTTTAAGAATATTAATGCAAGTGATTGTGCTGCTTTTAAATTCTACCCCAGCAGCCTGGTTGATTTGATTAAATGAAACAAGTGTTGATTTAGGAATCTGATAGCAACAGTTTTCTGTCTCATACTAACTTTGTGACTGTAGGCAAGTATCTTAACTTTTCTGAGGCTCAGTTTCCTCATTTTTTTAAGTCATGATAACTTTACAGAAGATTGAAACATGGTATATGAAAGCACCCATCACAGTACATGCCTTGGTAGACACTCATTAAATTCAGTTTTCCTTCCTTCCCAGTGTGAAAGAGAGATTAGAGAGGTCAGGAGATCAGATCAAAATGATAGTTTTGGAGGAGAATACTTTTAAATCTTTAAGTTTCTGTTCTAATGCTATCAGTAGAGTTTAATGTCTGAGTACTCTAAAAGAGCATTGTACCATTTGAAGAGTACTCATTTTTTCATGTTTTTGTGATATAGCAAGGGAGGATAGAAATACAAGTGTAGTAAAAATCATGGGAAATTGTTGATTTCCTATGCTCTGTTTCACAATTAAGAATTTCATATTCTGTTCTTGAATCTCATTGTGATCTCTATAATTCATATCTTGTTTTACAGCTGATGGAATAGTTGCACCTAATAAAGTAATAAATAAAGTGAAAGCTGTTGCATGTGAGAAGTTGATGTAAAACTAAGATACTGTGCTTTTTTTTTAAAGATTTTTTATTTATTTATTTGACAGATAGAGATCACAAGTAGGCAGAGAGGCAGACAGAGAGAGAGAAAGAGAGGAGGAGAAGGCTCCCTGCTGAGCAGAGAGCCAGTGTGGGGCTTGATCCCAGAACCCTGGG